CATTTTTGTCTTTGATTTTCAGTAGTTTTACTATGTGTCTAGGCATAGTTTTCTTTAAATTTAGTCTGTTTGGGCTCTGAGTTTCTTGATGTACATTTATGTCTTCCATTAATTTAGGAAGGTCTCATTTATTATTTCCTAAAATATTTTTCTGCACCATTCTTTCTCTACTTCTAATACTCCAGTTAAACCCTAGAGACAAATATACCCAGGGAAATGCATACACTACGGTTAAGAGATAATCCCTGACTTACGATTGTTTGATTTAGAATTTTTCAACTTTATGATGGATTTATCAGAGTATTAAATGCATTTTCAATTTAGTAACACTTTTGACTTTCGGTGGGTTTATAGGGACATAACCTCATCATAAGCTGAGTATAATCTCTATTTTCTGCCCACCTGTGCTGTGGTTTGCTGAGATCACAAGGCTCCATGTTAGTGCCTATGGATAAACTAGAGTGAGCTATTATAATGAGGAATAAAAACAGCTATACTGTTCTTATAAAATTTGAGCTTATTTCTCATCAAGTCACATCAGATTTAAGAGGCTAATCCAAAATATCTTTTTTGAGGTGCTTTTTTGATGATACAGGAAAAGAATGAGTAGGTAGTGGGATGAACATCACTTGAAGAGAGACTCAGTCTGTATACATAGTTCATGCAATGGAATAGAGTGTCAGTGTTTGGGGTTTTGTTTGTTTGTTTGTTTGTTTTGAGACAGTTTTGCTCTGTTGCCCAGGCTTAAGTGCAGTGGCACAATCTCAGCTCACTGCAACCTCTGCCTCCTGGGTTCAAGTGATTCTCCTGCCTCAGCTTCCTGAGGAGCAGGGATTACAGGCACCCGCCACCACACCTAGCTAGTTTTTGTACTTTTAGTAGAGACAAGGTTTCACCATGTTGGCCAGGCTGATCTTGAACTCCTGACCTCAGGTGATCCACCTGCCTTAGCCTCCCAAAGTGCTGGGATTAGAGGCGTGAGTCACCACACCCAGCCATGAATGTCTTACCAAGTGAGACAGAGTGCTTACATTTAAATTTGCTTAACTTAAAAGGCCAGGTAAGATGGCAACACTTAACTCTGCAGCATATCATCAAGTGTCCAAAAGAAAGGTCCTAGAAAATGATATGAGATACTTCAGAAGTAAAATACGATAATGCTCTTGACTAAACATTAAAATAATCGATTTATATTACTAGTATTATGCTTTAGTGTATAAAATGCATAAGTTGATAAGCAATCATTGAATAGTTTTCATGATGATTAAATATCTTGTTGGTGTTGCTTTTTCTTTCTTTTGAATCCAACCAAATACAAACATTATATACCAAGAATGATTATGATAATAGGGATAGAGGGGATAGAATAGGGATAGAGGGGCTCTCAACTTTTAATGAATGAAGAGGCATGACCCACAGTTTTGTAGATGACAGTACCTAGAAGGTGTAGTGGGTGGTGACTTTTGGTGTAAGCTTCAAAAAAGCTGCGGGCCGGTGCGGTGGCTCAAGCCTGTAACCCTAGGACTTTGGGAGGCCAAGGCGGGTGGATCACGAGATCAAGCGATCGAGACCATCCTGACCAACATGGTGAAACACCGTCTCTACTAAAAATACAAAAATTAGCTGGGTGTGGTGGCATGTGCCTGTAGTCCCAGCTACTCAGGAGGCTGAGGCAGGAAAATTGCCTGAACCTGGGAGGCAGAGGTTACAGTGAGCCAAGATTGTGCCACTGCACTCCAGCCTGGCGCCTAGTGACACAGTAAGACTGTCTCAAAAAAATAAAAAGTCTGCTAGTTTTGAAAGAAGAAAAAGATATATTTGAAAGAGCCAATGGAGAGTAAGAAGGCCTCCTAGCTGAACTTTAGCCACGAGATGTGTGGGTCATGGAATATAAAACACCCTGCAGGTGAGCAGGGTCCTCAGAGGAAACCAGTTAAGACAAGGAGGTCAATGAAATATTCAGAGACGGTGCTGCAGATATAGGTGAACTGTTGAGTGTAGATCTAAAGGGTTAATGAGCACAGCAGAAGAGTTTAGAGGGCAAAGGAGGGCTTGACGATTGGGTTAAAGGGCTTAATGGAATGATTTTATTCCTTCCAGCCACCTTCTTATTAACAGAACCTCAACTCGGAGTGTTCTCCCTTTGTTGGAACAGGATGTATTCAGTGACGGTTACCTTCCTCCCACCCCAGGAGTCTCTTGATTAGTCCATAAGCCAATCATTATAATTACTGGCCGTCTGGCAATGATTGGTTTGAGAAGGAGTAAATGACATGATTTTGCCTAATAAAATGGGAGAAAAACTTAGCTAAGATCATCTACAAAAATGTTCATTTGTTAAACACAAAAGAAGGACTAGTTGTTCTAGTTTGTACTTCCTTCTCCTGAAGTTACTGAGTGAGTTTGTATCCCTGGAGCTGTAATACTCATCTTGGGATCATACAGAGAAACTCTAGGATGTTATACCTTCCTACTCTCTTTCTGTACTTTTCTATTTCATTTCAGGGGGTTCTCATAAAGATGGGAGGCAAAAAAATTCGTGGCTAATCCTCCCTCCTAATTTAAGGAAATATGTATGATTTTTCTAATCCTATCTGCTTTTTGTAAGAAAGAAAATAATGTATAAAGTAGAAATTATATTTCGCCAGCCTTTTTGCTTTCTTATTCCTACACATATAACATAACTTGTGTCTGAACATATTTGTACTTTTTAAAAAAATATGGTAAGAAATTAAACACCTGCTACCTGCAGTTTTCCCTTTATGACATAGAGAAGGACATCTCAGAGAAGATGATGCTTGAAGAGTCCTTATGAATGATTAATAATTTGCAAGTGAGAAAGGATAATGAGTAGAAGTGGTGATAGAGGGAGATTCTAGTACACAGGACAATATTTTTGTCTGATAAGACATTGTGCAAAGGCTAAAAGATATTAAAGGTCATGATAATTTTATGAGAAAAATAATATACTCAATGATAGAGAGCAGAGAAGTTTATAGGAGAGTGATGGAGAATTAATCTGATAAGACAGAAGAGAGGACCTGACCTAAAAGTGCCATAGATGACATGCTGGTATGTGAACTTTCCAACGAAGGGTATAAGGAGTTGCAGAATAATTTTAAGCACATGGATAATAAGAGCAGATGAATTATTTAGAAATATCACTATTTCTCAAGATCAGATAACTACAGTTTTGGATTCCAGTTCCAGCATTTATTAGCTGTGAAATTATGAGTAGATTATTATTCAGCCACTCTCTCAGTTTCCTCATTTGCAAAATGGGGATGATGGACGAAGGATTGTGATGATTAAATGAGAAACATGTGAAAGTGACCATAGAGTGCTTGTCCTATAGCAGGTTTTTAATAAATGTTAATTTCCTTCTACTGACATATTTTGTGGCTGTCATCTGGTTAACTAAAAAAGAATTTTTAAAATGGATTTATTTTTTCTTTTTGCTCTACTGATGGTTGGGGGACTTTAATTTTTTCCTTTTCTTTTTCCAGACAGTCTTGTTCTGTCCCCTCGGGCTGGAGGGCAGTGGCTTGATTGCAGCACACTGCAACCTCTACCTCCTGGGTACAAGTGATTCTCCTGCCTCAGCCTCCCAAGTAGCTGGGGTTACAAGTGCCTACCACGATGCCTGGCTAATTTTTTGTATTTTTTGGTAGAGATGGGGTTTCACCATGTTGGCCAAGCTGATCTCGAACTCCTGACCTTAGTTGATCCACCCTCCTTGGCCCCACAAAGTGCTGGGAATACAGGCGTGAGCCACTGTGCCCAGCTGGGGACTTTAAAAATATTATTCATCTGAAGTAAAATAAATTTCACTAAGAACTATGTTTGTGAGGTCACTTAAATGTTCCAACTTATTTACATCTAGAACCAAGAGTACACTGCCCGAATTAAATTCAGCAAGCCTGTATTTTTTGGGTAAAGGCAAGAACTAAGCACTAGGGGATATTAAAAATAAAAATGCATGGACCTTGGCATCAATGAGATTAAAAAAAAGCATCTGAATACGTGATACAATCAACAGTTAGAAATGAGAGAACATGTTCTCTTTCCGGGTCCACAAGGGGGCGTAGTTTTAAGTGCAAGAACTTCCCAGTACCACGACCCCCTCCCATCTCACTCCATCCGGGAGATTTAACTGTTTATGTTTGAATTTCACGGGCATGGGAAGAAACTAAGATTCAGTCACCCCAGCCAAAGTTTAAAGGAACTCCTTTCGTCTCCCAGGATAAATTCCCCTGCTCCTTCACCCACACCCGATTTCCAGCTCTCTGGAATCCCTTCCCAGCTCTCTGGAATCCCTTCCCACAGAGTGGGAGCTCTGTTTCCGCTCCTGGATTTCCCCTCTGGAGTCCCCATCCACACTCTTCGTAGAAGTTTTTCTGTCTTCTCCTCCTTTTTTTCCCCCTCTTCTTTCTACCTAAATAAAATCACCTTTCTGCAACACTTCTTGGGTTCGGTGTTTACTTTAAGTTTACCACGCACCTTTACGAGCTTACTGCGCCCTCTCGGAGACCAAGAACCTACAACATTCTCTAGGGGGAGCTGTGCCTCACCAGCACCCCAAAACCCGGTTACAGAACTATTTAAGTTAAACGTCGAAGTGCCCACGTGCTCCCTGTGAGATATTAAGATCTATTTTCTTTTCCCAAAATGTCTTTGTTTTCTGATAAACAGCAAAAAGGAACATTATTGGTATAGAAGCATGACATTCTTCCAGGGTGTCTTGTCACATCTGAGCCTCTGCTGATGGTGTTTACCTTGGAATGTGTTCTTTTCTGAGGAAGCGCAATAGGACACTGTAGTTGTATATAAATAACTTAAAAATTGGCCTATCTAAAAACTGATAATACTAGCTGATTTTCTTGTATCTGTCATATAGAAATGATAATGCCCAAAGTGTAAGTAGTGCATTTAGAATCATTTTTAGGCACATCGTCTGAGCATAGTCTTTAACTTCCTCTTATATTTTATTTTCATTTTAGTTCTTTTACAAAGCTTCCTCATCTGGCAGGAACGGAAGAAAATTTCTTGCTTGCCAAGAAAATCCAAACCCAGTGGAAGAAATTTGGACTAGATTCAGCCAAGTTGGTTCATTATGATGTCCTCTTATCTTACCCCAATGAGACAAATGCCAACTATATATCGACTGTGAATGAACATGGTGTTGAGGTAATGTGAAATTGTTGGTACATTTTGTATTTTACAGCCCAACTGCTTTGTGTGGATTGTTATGTAGGGTGAAGTAAAAGTAGAAATTTGTTAATAGTGAATTATTCTGTGTCCACTATGTGTTTAGACGTGGTGTTAAGTCCTGAGGCCAGAATGAAGACTAGGACATGGTTCCTTTGTCTAAGTAAGGTGAGGCAGACAATGGAATATTTCAGACTTCAAATTTGTCTGTTAAGTGCTGTGAAGGGTATGATCAGAGTTCATTATTTACCCAGAAAAGGGTCACTCAGCCCAGCCTGGGAGTTAAAGGTTTCCTGAAGTCTTGACATGTGAGTCATGGAAGGGCATAAGGAATTAACCACATGACAAAATAAGCTAAGAGAATTCTCAACGAAAGAAACTTTTGGCAAAGGCTTGGGGGCATGTACTATCTTAGTATTATTGGGAGAATGTAATGATTTTCTGTATTTCAAAAGTGTAAAATACAAAGTGGGCCATGATATGAGATAAACCAGTAGTTAGGTTCTGGAAACAGATCACAGAAGGGCTTGTATGCTGTCCTAAGGAGCTTAAACTTCAGCTTCAGTTCATGGGAGCCAATGACCAGTCCTGAGCAGGGGAAGGATCTAGCTGGAGGGTCATTTCTGATAGATGGGGCATCTGTAGATTACACCTAGACTAGGCAAGGGGTTAAATTTGTAGTCTTAAGACAATTGTCCAGGTAAAAGATAATAAAGTTTTAAATTAGGAAGTTAGTAAGAATGAGGAAGAGGGGTGGATTTCAGAAATAGTAAAGAAATGTATTAGCAGAACTTGATTAGTGATTGACTTGGGGAAGATAGAGTTCAGGATGACTCCTAGACTGTCTGATATGGGTGACTTATAACTGACGCTATTAATAGAGGTAGGAAATGCAGACCAAAAGCAGGCTCAGGGGTGGGAGATGATACATACGAATTTTAACATGTTGAGTTTTGACATCCAAGATGAAATAACCATCAAACATTTAAATGGATCTGGAAAGGTAAACATCATAAGCATATGAGCTATTGGTAAAATTTTGATAGTCAGGTCTCACAGGGAGGGAGTATAGAAGCAAGCGATGGGCTGGGGATAAAACTTTGGTTAATATTATTTAAATAAAGATGAAAGAAAAGGAGCCCACAAAGAAAACTGAAAAGTCATAGTCAAAGAAAGGATCGGCCCTGCTGTTCCACTTTATAAGAAAATTTTTGGTTATCTGGGATTGCATGCATTTATAAAAGTTTCTATTATTAGGAAAACAGTGATAATGATAAGGCTTTTCCTCAGTGTTGTCAGTGTAATTTATCTATTTAATTATAGAACCTAGCTCCAGGATGCTTAATGTGAAGCATATACTTGGGGGCCAAATGAATTATACCATAATAATAATCTGGAATTTTTCTCTCCCACATGACATGTTCTAATTCTTACTAGATTTTCAAAACTTCATACCTTGAACCACCACCATATGGATATGAGAATGTTACAAATATTGTGCCACCATATAATGCTTTCTCAGCCCAGGGCATGCCAGAGGTAAAATAAAATACACTTTAATTCAAGTTTTAAAATGATTCTTTTGCTATCTAAAAGCTATATAGAGCACTAAAACCAATTGTTTGATATTCTGTACTATCAACACCTCATCCCCCAATTTTAAAAATAGTAATAAAATAAAATAGAAAAAAACACCAGACAGCAAAAAAAGAAACAAAGCAAATACATTAAAAACAGACCCTGATGAAGCAGATGCCACTCTGAAATAACAAAGAAACTGCTGAAAAAGCCTCAGATTTAGTGAGGGCAGTATGTGTTTTTACAAGCTTCCTTCCATTGTTCATATTGTGAATTTTTTATGGATTCATAGACATAATCTTATAGATCATATCATAGAATTTCTTAAATTAATGAAATAGTTGGAAATTAAATATAGTTAGGATCTTTAAAATGACATTTGTTTACTCCATTTCTTGTGGCTTAGTATACACTGATTTATTCAAAACAGAACACACTGTTTAAATATGTCTGGCTGGGTGTGGTGGTTCACGCCTGTAATCCCAGCACATTGGGAGGCTGAGGTGGGCGGATCATTGGAGGTCAGGAGTTCAAGACCAGACTGGCAAACATGGTGAAACCCTGTCTCTACTCTTAAAAAATACAAAAATTACCTGGGTGTAGTTGTGCATGTCTATAATCACAGCTACTCTGGTGGCTGAGGCAGAATCGCTTGAACTAAGGAGGTGAAGGAGGTTGCAGTGAGCAGAGATAGCACACTGCACTCCAGCCTGAGAGACAGAGTGAAATTCCGTCCCCAGAATAATAAATAAATGTTACACATTGTCATTTTTTAAATCTTTTCAGGATTTTATAAGATTCTCTAATGACTTCTGCGTAATTACCATGGGTCTGTTTATTTTTCCCCAAATAAAGAAAGAAGACACTTTTGATGATGTAGTATTGCGAAGTTAACTTATTTTTTTCTTTAATTTTAGCAGTAATATATATATATTCTCTTTTCCCTATAGGGAGATCTTGTATATGTGAACTATGCTCGCACTGAAGACTTCTTCAAACTAGAAAGAGAGATGAGCATCAACTGTACTGGGAAGATTGTTATTGCCAGATATGGAAAAATCTTCAGAGGAAATAAAGTACAGTATTATTTTTCTAGAGAGAATAAGAGAGGAGATGTGTGTGTGTGTGTGTGTGTGTGTGTGTGTATATATATATATATATATATATATGATGTTCTGCAAGTGTAAATGACCACCTTGCTTCTCAGTTTCCAAAATAGCTTTCAAGTATTTATTTTCTTTTTTTTCCTATTTGCCATGGGTACACAGAAACTCATGTTTTTATGTTTTCTCACGTACCTGGAAAAGAAAATTATTTTTAATCATTTTTATTACAAAAGTAATATTTGCTTTTAGAAATTTAATTGAAGAAAATTTATATACAGTAAAAAATGAAAAGCTCTCCTGCATTACCCACTTCATTGTCCAAATATAATTAATCTTAATAGCTTTTTCAAACCTAATTCTATGAAATATAAATACATCTGTCCCTATATGCCCATTTTACATATATTTATTTATCTACTTTTACAAAGACGACATTATACACTATTACATGGCTTTATTTTTTTCATTCAGCCATGATTCATATTCTTCATGTTCCCATATTGAGAGTTATGTAATACACTGGCTAAGAGTATGGAACCCCTAGATCCGTATCACTTGGGTTCTGGTCTAGTCTGCCTTCTATTTATTCTAGATCTTTTACTGTGAGTATGTTACTTTACTTCTCTGTAAATGTAAATGTAAATGCCAATGATAGCACCAATCTCATAGAGTCTTTATCGAATGACTTTGTTTGAAAGCACTTAGGATAGTGGTTGGTACTTAGTAATTTCTATATAACTGCTTATTAATTACCTCACTATTTTAAATAATGGCATCATATTTCACAGAATTGATAAACAATTTAACCATTCTACTATGATAATATTTGTCTTATCTTGAATTTGTTACTATTACAAATTCATTGTGAACATCCTTGTTCATATATACTTCAGAACTTTGTGTGAAGATTATTGTAGTAGAGATTTCCAGAAGTTAGGTGCTAAATAATAGCGTATATTCTTTCAAAATTTTGATAGACTTCAATTTTTCATCAAAAAAGTTATGACAGATTATACCGTTAGTGACAAAACAGAGTGCTTTCTAAATATTAGAACACATTTTTATGAATCAAGACCATTATTCATCTTCTGCTACAACACTTTTGGAGAAGCAGAACTTGTTATCTCACAGGGTACATTTTCCTATTCTTGGCCAGTTTGGATTTTTAGATGTTTACAAAAACCGTGGGCCATTTTTCACAAAAATACGACTTCTCTGCATAGAATTTTAAATCAGCGTAGTTCCACAAATATTTGTAGAGTATTTATGATGTGCAATATTTAGAGGGCAGTCCTTTAAAGTTAAGAAGGCATGGTTCATGTTTTCAAAAACATCCTCAGTCTAATAGGGAGATAGACATTTAAAAGATATTTTAATGCATTATGAGCTATCCTATAATATAGAAAATATAGCTACAAAGAAGGGACATTAATTCTACAGTTGTGGGGAATAATATAAATGTTTCACAGAAAAAGTGATAACTTGTTTAGAATGCCATAAACTAATGGAACTCTGTGAGATTTAACAGGTGGTAAATTGTGTTCAAAGCCAAGAGAACGAATGTGCAATGGTATAATAAAAGGCAGTGTCTAAATATCCTTCCATTATTAAATTAATGTCTTTCTTATATGAATAAGCCAATCGTTTGCCATATCTGCATTATGAATTGCACATTGCCCTCGCAGGTTAAAAATGCCATGTTAGCAGGAGCCATAGGAATCATCTTGTACTCAGATCCAGCTGACTATTTTGCTCCTGAGGTACAGCCGTATCCCAAAGGATGGAATCTTCCTGGAGCTGCAGCCCAGAGAGGAAATGTGTTAAATTTGAATGGTGCTGGTGACCCACTGACTCCAGGCTATCCAGCAAAAGGTAAAGGATGAGCCTGTCGGTCCTCCAGTTTTTCAAAAATACCCCTTCCCTTTTAGAAGGAATAAAAGCAAGCGTGTTCAGAATAATATTAAACTAAAATGGGGTAGTTATGTCATTTTGGATTACAGCTGCTAGGAATTTTAAAACATTTGCTCTTGTATTATTTTAGTTTTAAATTTGCATGGGGAGGGAACATCAGCTCATATTCTCCTTCTTCCTTTATTAGAGTTCAGAACTACTGATCCTCATACCTAAAGTAATGCTCCCTTAACAAATGATAATTTAGGTATGCTGAATTACCCAGGGGTGGTATCCTTCTTTGTATCATGCATTTCTATTTTTTTTAAAGATGAGTTTTTGTGTTATGTAAAACATAAAATTTGAAGACTTACATATGTGAAATGTCTCTACAATCAAAGTAATGAACATAACCATTATCCCCCAAAAAGCTTCTTTGTCTCTTTATATTTTCAACCTCCCAGCTCTTCCTGCCCACTTCAAGCCAATCACTAGGCAACCACTGATATTGCTTTCTTCTGTCAGCATGATTATTTTGAGATCTGTCCATGTTGGCATATGTGTCAATAGCTGTTTTTTGTTTCTTTTTGTTGTTGTTGTTGTTGTTGTTTTTTGTTGAGTAGTATTCCTTTGAATGGCTATATCACAGTTTATTCTTTTACTTGTAGATAGGCATTTGGATTGCTTTCAGTGTGGGGGCTATTACCCAAAGGTGTAATGAACAGTCGTATAAGACTTTGCATGTACATATCCTTTTATTTCTCTTGGGCAAATATTTGGAAGTGGACTGCCTGAATAATATGGTAGTTAGTTATTTAACTTTTGCAGAAATTTTTAAATTGTTTTCTGAAGTTGTTTCATTTTGTATTTCAACAGCAATGTATGAGTGTTCTATTTGCTGTGTCCTCACTAACATTTAGTATGTCAGTTTTTTAAATTGTGCATTCTAACAGATGTGTAAGCCTTCCAGGTTACAACTCTTCTATTTTTCAAAAAGGTGTGCCTAATTTTGGTCCTTTCTATGTGAGTTTTACAATTAATTTACAATTTCCACCAAAAAGCCTCCTGAGAGTTTGACTGAGATTGAATGAAATCTATAGGCAAATCTGGGGAGACTTGATATCTTAACAATATTGAATTTTCTGATCCATATATAAAATATAACTCTACATTCTTTAATTTCTTTCAGGAAAGTTTTATAGTTTCACTATATGAATCATGCACACATTTTGTCAGATTTATTCACAAACATTTCACAGTTTTATGCTATTGTAAAGTTTCAATTCCAATTTTTCATTACTAGGAAACAGAAGCACTATTCTATTTCTGAAAGAAATACATTGGTCTTGTATCCTGCAAACTTATAAAACTCATTGATTCTGCTAGGTTTTTGTAGCTTCTGTCAGCACTGTTATGTAAATGATCATGTCATTTGCAGATGAAGATAATCTTATTTCTTGGTTTTCAATCTGGATGCATTTCCTTCCTTCCTTCCTCCGTCCCTCCCTCCCTCCTCTCTCTCTCTCTCTCTTTCTTCTCTTCTTTTCTCTCCTTCCTTCCTTCCTTCCTTCCTTCCTTCCTTCCTTCCTTCCTTCCTTCCTTCCTTCCTTCCTTCCTTCCTTCCTTCCTCTGTCTGTCTCTCTCTTTCGTTCTTTTTTTTCTTTCTATTTCTTTCTGTCTTTCTTTTGGCTGATTGTACTGGCTAGAACCCCAGGACATGTTTTCTTCTTTCTTTCTTTTCACATACAATTTATAGAGGTACTCCAGTACAATGTTAAATAGAAGTTGTTACAGCAGACATCTTTGCTTTATTCGTTTCAACTGGGAAAGTATCCAGTCTTTCTCTGTTAAATATTATGCTAGCTCTAGTTTTTTAACAGATTCCTTCTGTCACACTGAGGAAGTTTACTTCTATCCTGATATACTGAGGGTTTTCATTAGGAATGTTTATTGGATTTTGCCAATTGCTTTTACTATGTGCGTGGAGATGATCATATGTTATTATTCACTTTTGTTAAATTATATGACTGTATTTAATGTTAATCCAACCCTCTTAATCTAAAACCTATTTGGTAACAATGTATTATCCTTTTATATTTTGTTGAATTTTTGATACATTTTTCTTAAGTGTGTTTCTTTCTATGGTCATAAGGGATATTAACTAGTAGATTTAGTTTTGGCTCGCGGTGGCTCAAGCCTGTAATCCCAGCACTTTGGGAGGCCGAGGCAGGTGGATCACGAGGTCAAGAGATCGAGACCATTCTGGTCAACATGGTGAAACCCCGTCTCTACTAAAAATACAAAAAATTAGCTGGGCATGGTGGCGCATGCCTGTAATTTCAGCTACTCAGGAGGCTGAGGCAGGAGAATTGCCTGAACCCAGGAGGCGGAGGTTGTGGCGAGCTGAGATGGTGCCATTGCACTCCAGCCTGAGTAACAAGAGCGAAACTCAGTCTCAAAAAAAAAAAAAAAGATTTCGTTTCTCGTAATATCTTGGTGTCATTTGGTATCACAGAAATGCTGGCCTCTTAGAATGAGTTGGGAACTATTTTATCTTCACTTTTCTGCAAGAGTTTATAAAGAATGGGTTCAGTGTTATCTATAAATATTTGGTAGAATTCCCCAGGAATCTATCTGGGCCTGAAGTTTTTCATGTAGAACTGTTTTTCACTACAAATTGAATTTCTTTCATTCATATATATATGTGTGTGTGTGTGTGTGTGTGTATGTATATATGTGTATATGTGTGTGTGTATATATATATATGGCTATGCAGGTTATCTGTTTATTCTCAAGTGAGCCTTGGTAGTTAGCATTTTTCAAAGATTTTTGTCCATTTCATCTAAGTTGTTAATTTATGAGCATAGAGTGGTTTATAATATTTTCTTACTATTCTTCTGTCTGCAGGTACTAGGGTGATATTCTCTCTTCCATTCTTGATGGATTCATTCTTCATTCTTAGCAATTTAGTCTTTTCTCCTTTTGTCCTGATCTGTCTTGTTGGAAGTTTGTTAGTTTCATTGATCTCAAATAACTAGCTTTGGGTTTCATTGATTATCACTATTATTTTTTTTGTTTCCTGTTTCTTTTTTTTAATTTAATAGACATGGGTCTTGCTGTGCCACCCAGGCTGGTCTCAAACTCCTAGACTCAAGCAATCCTCCTGCCTTGGCCTCCCAAAGTGCTGGGATTACACACATGAGCCACCAGGAACCCAGCTAATTTCTATTTCTTAGATTTCTGCTGTGATATTTATCACATCTTTTCTCCTGCTTATTTTGGCCTTTATTTGTTCTTTTTCAAGTTTCTGAAAGTGGAATATGATGTCATTTGTTGGAAGCATAACTTTTTTCCTAAGATGTATTATTTAGTGCTATACCTCTCCCTATAAGCACTACTTCAGTTCTATCCTACAGATTTTAATTTATTGTAGTTTTATTTTATTTTGGAAACAAGGATTCCACTTTGTCACCCAGGCTGGAGTGCAGTGGTCTAACCATATAGCTCACTGTAAACAAACTCCCAGGCTCAAGTGATTCTCCTGCCCCAGCATCCCAAGGAGCTGGAACTATAGACATGTACTACCATGCTCAGCTAATTTTTTAATGTTTATTTTTAGAGATAGGTCTTGCTGTGTTGCGTAGGTTTAGTGTTTTTATTTTTATTTGGTTCCAAATACTTCCGCTTTTCACTTCTACTTTGACCCATGGTTTATTTATAAATGTGTTATTTAATTTTAAAATATCTGAGAATGTTCTAGGTATCATTCTAATATTGATTTCTACTTTTATTCCATTTAGATCAGAAAACATACTTTGTTGATTTTTATGTTTATTGATACGTGTTTTATGGCCAAGAATATGGTCTATCTAATATATTCTCTATGCACTTGAAAAGAATGTGTGTTCTGTTTTTGGTTGTAGTGTTCTATAAATGTCAACTAGGTCAAGTTAGTAGTGTTATTAAAGTCTTATATACTTACTGATTTACTGTGTAATTATATTGTTAAAATTTTCGTTTCAGCATCAGTTTTCTTGTGAAGCTACTTAAATAATAAAAATCTCATGATAGAACTATTGTTTTATACATTTTATTATTTTTAAAGTGTTTCATTTACATAAAATAAGATGATAAAAAATAAGGTGTTTCAAGCATGAAGGTAAATTTGGTCCCTTTAACTCTGTCTAAAAGCCACAATTCCAATGAGGTTTTAAGGCTGGCAATATTTTTCAGTCTTCCTTGAATAATAATATATTACATTACTATTTGAATACAATGTTTCTCATTTATTCCCAAGAGTGCATATGTTCCCTTGTTTGTTTGTTTGTTTGGTTTTCCATTTATTTATAGTTTCAGAATCTGGGATACACTTTCTAAGCATCTGGTTAATAAAGTTTCTCTAAGAAGAATTCAGGAGATCCTTGAGGAGCTAAAATATTCTTGTAAACGTCAAGAGAATTATGTGAAATGTCAAAACAACTTTGGGAAACGATCATCTCTAACTTAAAATGTAAATGATTTATTAAATAGAATGTATTAAGTAAAACAATTGTTTGACTTTGGGGGAACTTTTAATTTTGACATAATTGCAAATGAATAGCAAATCTGCAATAGTAATGCAAAATATTCCTGTATATCTCTTGCTCAGATTTTTAAATTGTTATCATTTATGCATTTGATGTTTTAGAATACACTTTCAGACTTGATGTTGAAGAAGGAGTGGGAATCCCCAAAATACCTGTACATCCCATTGGATATAATGATGCAGAAATATTATTACGGTATAGTTTTCTTGTTCGATATGAGATTAAGATATTTTGCACTAGGTGTCTCTTTTCTCATCAAAAACTTACATGGCATTCTTATGTTAAACATAGAGTTTTATAACTAAATAAGTCCTGAAGTAGGAATAACAGAGTAAACTATTTTTATTTTAGAAAAGTAGTCAGTTTAGTGACTAAGAAATAAAACTAAAATACTGCTGTTTTTGCTACAAATGAAATTCTCAAATACCAAACTATGGCCAAAGATAATTCTGATTGGAGATTTCTTAAGCAATTGAATTTTCATAGGTATTAATTAGATATCTATACTCGATGTGCAGTATAAGAATATGACAATGTCCCCCATTTACCAGAGGTATGACCTTGGACCAGTTACTTTCTCTGACTCAGTTTCTTTATTTGTAAGATGGGGCTAGTAACTATTTCTGCTTGATAGAATTATTATGAGATCATATGTATAAAATACTTAGCACCATATTTAGAATATAGCAAGCAATTATTATATTCTATAACTGATATTTCTTTACATATCTCCCAACTCTCATTTTTTAAATGCCTGTATGAGTATTACAACTTAATAATTGTGTGAGTGCCTACTGTGTAATCAGCGGCTTCTTTACAAATTAATTTCTTCTCGTTAATGCAGCCATTACTTTCCTATATTTAAGATTTCTTGGATTCAGTAAGTTCCCACATAATTAAGATCAAACATAAGGAGATGGGCTTGCCATTTGCCATCACTATTTTATTTTTCCTTTGTTCTTATCACTAACATATTATGTATTGTACTTACTGATTTCAGTATGAATATGAACTAGAATATGAACTCCACAAGGGGAGAGATTTTTGACAGTACCTGGCACTTAGTAAATGACAAATAATTCTTATATATATGAATAAAATATTGTCACCAAACTTTATAATTTACCCTCAGAAACTGTGATACTCAGCCTTTTTCTGCCATTTTCATTTTATTTTGACAGCCACTTGGGAGGAATTGCTCCACCAGATGAGAGCTGGAAGGGAGCGCTTAATGTGAGTTACAGTATTGGACCTGGCTTTACAGGGAGTCATTCTTTCAGGTAATTTTGCATTGCTTTAATAGCCTGAAAAAGTCTTATATTTTTAACGAAAACATGTTGAGATGCCTATTCTACTAGGTACATTTTGCTTATTTCTTATTCTCATTTTCATTACTAAACAACTGATGGTTTTACATTACTTAAAAAGTACTTACTAAACATATATGGACCCAATACAGGAGCACCCAGATACATAAGGCAAGTTCTTAATGACTTACAAAGAGACTTAGACTACCACACAATAATAGTGGGAGACTTTAACACTCCACTGTCAATATTAGACAGATCAACCAGACAGAAAATCAACAAGGATATCCAGGGCTTGAACTCAGACCTGGAGCAAGCAAACCTGATAGACATTTACAGAACTCTCCACCCCAAATCCACAGAATATACATTCTTCTCAGCACCACATCACACCTACTCTAAAATTGACCACATAATTGGAAGTAAAGCACTGCTCAGCAAATGCAAAACAACTGAAATCATAACAAACAGCCTCTCAGACCATAGTACAATCACGTTAGAACTCAGAATTCAGAAACCAACCCAGAACCGCACAGCTTCATGGAAACTGAACAACTGGCTCTTGAATGTTGACTGGATAAACAACAAAATGAAGGCAGAAATAAAGAAGTTCTTCGAAACCAATGAGAACGAAGATACTACATGCCAGAATCTCTGGGACACATTTAAAGCAGTCTCTAGAGGAAAGTATATAGCAATAAGTGCCCATATGAGAAGAATGGAGAGATCCAAAATTGACACCCTATCGTCAAAATTGAAAGAGCTAGAGGAGCAAGATCAAAACAACTCAAAACCCAGCAGAAGACAAGAAATAACTAAGATCAGAGCTGAGCTGAAGGAGATTGAGGCACAAAAAACCCTCCAAAAAATTAATAAATCCAAGAGCTGGTTTTCTGAAAAGATTAACAAAATAGACCACTATCCAGATTGATTAAAAAGAAAAGAGAGAACAACCAAAATAGATGCAATAAAAAATGATAAAGGGGAAATCACCACACATTCCACAGAAATTCAAACCATCATCAGAGAATATTACAAACAACTCTATGCACATAAACTAGTAAACCTGGAAGAAATGGATAAATTCCTGGACTCCTGTGTCCTCCCAAGCCTAAACCAGGAGGAAGCTGAAACTATGAATAGACCAATAACAAGGGCAGAAGTCGAGGCAGCAATTAAGAGCCTACCACACAAAAAAAGCCCAGGTCCAGACGGGTTCACAGCCGAATTCTACCAGACACACAAAGAGGAGCTGGTACCATTTCTTCTGAAACTATTCCAAATAATCCAAAAAGAAGGAATCCTTCCCAGATCATTCTATGAGACCAATATCATCCTGATACCAAAACCCGGCAGAGACCCAACAAGAGAAGAAAACTTCAGGCCAATATCCATGATGAACATAGATGCAAAAATCTTCAATAAAATATTGGCAGGCCGATTGCAACAGCAAATCAAAAAACTTATTCATCATGATCAAGTAGGATTCATCCCAGGGATGCAAGGCTGGTTCAACATACGCAAGTCTATCAACGTAATTCACCACAGAAACAGAACCAAAAACAAAAACCACATGATTATCTCAATTGATGCAGAGAAGGCATTTGACAAAATTCAACAGCCCTTTATGCTAAAAACCCTCAATAAACTCGGTATCAATGGACGTATCTCAAAGTAATAAAAGCTATTTATGACAAACCAACAGCCAATATCATACTGAATGGGCAAAAACTGGAAGCATTCCCTTTGAAATCCGGCTCTAGACGAGGATGCCCTCTGTCACCACTCCTATTCAATATAGTACTGGAAGTGCTAGCCACAGCAATCAGGCAAGAAAAAGAAATAAAGGGTATTCAAATAGGAAAGGTGGAAGCCAAATTGTCTCTATTTGCAGACGACATGATAGTATACCTAGAAGACCCCATCGCCTCAGCCCAAAAACTCCTGAAACTGATAAGCAACTTCAGCAAAGTCTCAGGATATAAAATCAATGTGCAAAAATCACAAGCATTCATCTACACCAATAATAGACTTAAAGAAAGCCAAATCAGGAACGAACTGCCATTCACAGTTGCTACAAAAAGAATAAAATACCTAGGAATACAACTCACAAGGAACGTAAGGGACCTCTTCAAGGAGAACTACAAACCACTGCTCAACGAAATCAGAGAGGACACAAACAGATGGAGAAACATTCCATGTTCATGGTTAGGAAGAATTAATATCGTAATAATGGCTATACTGCCCAAAGTAATTTACAGAATCAACGCTGTCCCCATCAAGCTACCATTGACTTTCTTCCCAGAACTAGAAAAAACCACCATGAACTTCATATGGAACCAAAAGAGAGCCCGCATAGCCAAGTCAATTCTAAGCAAAAAGAACACAGCGGGGGGCATCACACTACTGGATTTCAAACTATACTACAAGGCTACAGTAATCAAAACAGCATGGTACTGGTACCAAAACAGAGATATAGACCAATGGAACAGAACAGAGGCATCAGAGGCAACACAGCATATCTACAACTATACAATCTTTGATAAACCCGACAAAAACAAGCAATGGGGAAAGGATTCCCTGTTCAACAAATGGTGCTGGGAAAACTGGCTAGCCATGTGCAGAAAGCAGAAACTGGACCCCTTCCTGACACCTTACACCAAAATTAACTCCAGATGGATTAAAGACTTAAACATAAGACCTGGCACCATAAAAACCCTAGAAGGAAATCTAGGCAAAACCATCCAGGACATAGGAGTAGGCAAGGACTTCATGAACAAAACACCAAAAGCATTGGCAACAAAAGCCAAAATAGACAAATGCGACCTAATGAAACTCCACAGCTTCTGCACGGCAAAAGAAACAGTCACTAGAGTGGATCGGCAACCAACAGAATGGGAAAAAATTTTCGCAGTCTACCCATCTGACAAAGGGCTGATATCCAGAATTTACAAAGAACTCAAACAGATTTACAGGAAAAAAAGAAACAAGCCCATTCAAAAGTGGGCAAAGGATATGAACAGACACTTTACGAAAGAAGACATGTATGAGGCCAACAATCATATGAAAAAATGCTCATCATCACTGGTCATCAGAGAGATGCAAATCAAAACCACATTGAGATACCATCTCATGCCAGTTAGAATGGCGATCATTAAAAAATCTGGAGACAACAGATGTTGGAGAGGATGTGGAGAAAAAGGAACACTTTTACACTGTTGGTGGGAGTGTAAATTAGTCCAACCATTGTGGAAGACAGTGTGGTGATTCCTCAAGGCCTTAGAAATAGAAATTCCATTTGACCCAGCAATCCCATTACTGGGTATATACCCAAAGGACTATAAATCGTTCTACTATAAGGACACATGCACACGAATGTTCATTGCAGCACTGTTTACAATAATAAAGACCTGGAATCAACCCAAATGCCCATTGATGATAGACTGGATTGGGAAAATGTGGCACATATACACCATGGAATATTATGCAGCATTTAGAAATGATGAGTTTGTGTCGTTTGTAGGGACATGGATGAATCTGGAGAACATCATTCTCAGCAAACTGACGCAAGAACAGAAAATGAAACATCGCATATTCTCACTCATAGGCGGGTGATGAAAAATGAGAACACATGGACACAGAGAGGGGAGTACTAAACACTGGGATCTATTGGGGGGAAAGAGGGAGGGCCAGTGGGAGGGGGAGGTGGGAAGGGATAGCCTGGGGAGAAATGCCAAATGTGGGTGAAGGGGAGAAAGCAAACAAAACACACTGCCATGTGTGTACCTATGCAACTGTAATGCATGCTCTGCACATGTACCCCAAAACCTAAAATGCAATAAAAAATAAAAAAAATTAAAAATAAAATGAAAACTTTAAAGCATACTAAATTATTATCAGTATTAGCATACTGTGAAATCAAACATGAACTTCTGAGAGCCAAATCTTAGATAAAGCAGTGTATAGTTAGATAAGTGTTTGCACTTATCTTACATAGAGCTTTTAAAATAAAAACAATTTCATGTCATAAAAAAATAATGAAAAGTACTTACTAAATGAAAAATTGAATTCTTTCACTAGTAGTATCACAATATTAGTTTCATAGAGTCTCAAAAATTACTACATTTGAATTATAGGTTTAACATTTCAAACTAGGTTCTTCAAAATTCTCTCTTCACCTAGTTTTTAAAATAGTTTTTCAAATAACTTTCAAAATGCTATACATGTGAAAAACTAGGTGAAGCTAAGGGAGAGATAAAGATGAAGAGAGAAGGGAGCCAACATTGTTGATCACTTATTGTGTGGGTTCAATGAATTAAAATGGGTAAATCACATAGGTACTGTAAGGCTCCATAGAATTATTATTACAATTATTATTCTTATTAATACATGATAACAGTCTTCTAGAATAGATGCGATCACAAATTGTGTGTTATCGAACTTATTCTTACAGAAAGAGTAAAAGTTTACCACTGGGTCAAGGCAGGCAGGAAATGCAAGCTAGAGAAATCAGCTTGTACAGAGTTGTTGAATAGCATGGCATGATCTGAACTTTAAGAAGTTTGATTTGCCTGAAATGTAATAGAAGAGGGAAATGTAGCACTGATGAATCATATGGCTGCTTTTATTAAACCAAAAATATTAAATCAGTCTTGTTTGCTAACAGTTTACCCTAACTATATGAATTTGGATTCTCAGAATATTTTTGTAGCTTCTGTAGGATTTCTCTTATTCCACAAAGTTTAAAATATTAGAAGTCCAATTTCCTTGCTTTATAATCAGTTTATAAATGTTTGATTTATATGTGTTTATTTATCTCTAAAATTCAATCAGAACAGTATTCTTTTAATTTAAGAGACTATATTATCTAATTTGTGTATATCCTCCAGAGGAAGGAAAACATAACTTATTCAATGAAAGGTAAAGGCTTTTTGATTACAAACAGAAATATACAGACATAGAAAACATATAACTTCAGTTCTACAAGTTTAGTCACAAAGAGTAAACTCAAAATCATAAACATTTCTAGGTCTAGATATAAAAAAGCTGTGCTCCTTCACTGTGAGCACAGAAGTCTCTATTGGTTTTAACTCAAAGTGGACAAATACACAAACAACCACAAAACTAAAAACTAGTTTCCCTCACATCTTACCTCACAGAAATCTTGATAATCCATTAATTCATTTACCAATATCATCAAATGAGAAGACATAAGGGCAAATTGCCAATCATTGCTGCCACCAGTGAGGAATAACTTAATCTGCCGTACGCAAAGCAGAAACATAAAACACAAAATCAGTAGCGAAAACATAAAAGCTAGAGATACAGAATATCAGCAAAGTTAAATTTCTACTGTTGCTTAGCATTTATGTGTGAGAGCCAAAAGAAGATATGAAGAATGGGCTTAAGCTGCCCGTACCTGGTTCTGCAAAATGAATCCATTGTACTTGTAAGTGGAACCCCCAAAAATCTCCCACAATGAGGAAAGGAATGCAAACCTTCACTAGACAGATTGTGCATTTCGGTGGATTTCAATTACTTGCATTACTATCATGTTTCTACAAGTTAACTTCTTTGTCTACAGAGCTGTAAAATAGTCTAGTTAAGGATACTGACAGGTAGAGGTGACAATAAAAGATGAGCCCAAGTTTTTCCCAGTTTTCCTTATATGATCATATTCATTTATTTTGTGAATATTTATTGAGCATTTCCTATACCGTAGACACCATTTTGGATTCTGGGGATTTAGCAGTGAACAAAGCAGGCAAAAATCTCCTCCCTGTGGAACGTGCATTCTAGAGTTCAGTTTATTTGAAGCATGATGAGTTTGAAGTGATAATATGACAAATAAATATTCTTCTGGAACTCAAAAACACTAAAAATGAGAAAGACATAGGATTAAAGATGTAAATGTGCCACTTTGAGAATCTTAGCAGATAGCCTATGTTTTCTGTTAAGACTAATATCAACTTTTTCTTCCTCATATGTTGCATTTTTCTTTACTTAATTTTCTTCATTTAATGATACACCACCAACGAATTTGGGTTTCTTACTAATCATGTATCCACGGCTTATATTTTTAGACACGTGCTAAACAATATTTCTACTTTTCTGCTATAAATTTTTATCTGTTGTTATCAAAATGAAATCATGTGGCACAAGAACAGAAAATGAAACACCGTATATTCTCACTCATAGGCGGGTGATGAAAAATGAGAACACATGGACACAGAGAGGGGAGTACTAAACATTGGGGTCTATAGGGGGAAAAGGGGAGGGCCAGTGGGAGGGGGAGGTGGGGAGGGATTGCCAGGGGAGAAATACCAAATGTGGGTGAAGGGGAGAAAGCAAACAAAACACACTGCCCTGTGTGTACCTATGCAACTATATTGCATGCTCTGCACATGTACCCCAAAACCTAAAATGCAATAAAAAAAAAAGAAAAAGAAAAAGAAAAAAAAAAAGAAATCATGTACTTAATGCCTTAAAATGAAAAATGAAAATACCCATCGATCAGTTTTACTCTGAGGTACTTTTAGTTGAATTTGCAAATGGAGTAAAGATCAGAAGCACAGTGTAGTTTGGTGGGGTGGCGGAAGCCAGAATTTGTTCTTAACAATATACAAGTTTTGACAGATCATTCAGTATTCCATTAAAAAATGATTACAAACTAGAAACAACTGAGATCTCCCTACCCTTCGAATAAATGAAGATTAATTTTGTTCTCTTGGGGAAAATAGCACTTTCCCATGTCATTTTCGATTCATAAAATGTGAGTAACAGTGTTTTTTTCCTGTCTGGCTGAGCTTCATTGTATTTTCCCTAGTTTTCTAATTTGGCTGATTGTAACTCATGAATGAATATTAAAAGACTGACCCAAATCAGAATCAACAAGGGTGGCCTAGAAACATGTCATTATGTAGTTGTGCATTTTAGCAGGAGCTTCCCAAATTCTCATTTAACAACAGAATTTTCTGTTTTTTATAGGTGACACTAAGCCAGCTCTTAAACTTACATACCATTTCCATAATCATAAAGATAGTTACTGAATCTAGGATTTAATATAAATATAAATAGATATATTCAAATAACACGCTTATACTTTTTTCTTTATTACATAATGGACTGTCTTATTTGTTTCCGTAAGGTCTATTTTTAAAATTTAGAATAAATATCTAATATTTTGAATAATAAAATATTTTGAATTTCAAATAAATAACAGTATAGCTATGAGAAAATAATATAAAACAGCTTTTACTATTTGACTTCAAGGTGCATTCTTAGGTGCTTAGAAGTAAATTTGCATAATGTCTGTACTTTACTTGCAAATGGTTCAACAGTGTCAACAATTACTGAATTTAGGTGGTAGGATGCTATTGCATAGCTTTTCATAATAAAGCACTATTATGAAAATAGTTTTTTTAATAATAAAACACTGTAAAAGACTCGACATAATTCACTGTGGTAATTTATTCCTTTTCAAATTCTAGGAAGGTTAGAATGCATGTTCATAACATCAATAAAATTACAAGGATTTATAATGTAATTGGGACTATCAGAGGATCTGTGGAACCTGGTGAGTCAGATAATTTTTTAAAAACATTTTGTTTTTATAAAAATTAAAGAGTAAGTAAAGATAAGTTGTAGTCAACAATTGATGTGGGGGTTTTTTTGGCTGATTTGAAACTACTAAATTTTGGGGAAAATTGTACAACTCTAAACAAAGACTTTATAGTGTTTCTTGTCTTTTATACAGAAAACTCAAGCAAGAGTATGTTTATTTAAAAACATAAATTACAAATATTTATAATGTATTCAAAGTTGTAAGGTTTTTTAATATACTATTTTCCAGACAGGTATGTTATTCTGGGAGGTCACCGGGACGCCTGGGTATTTGGAGCTATTGACCCAACCAGTGGGGTTGCTGTTTTGCAAGAAATTGTCCGGAGTTTTGGAAAACTGATGAGTAAAGGTAAACAACTTTTCTTTTCTAGGTGATGACAAAAAGTGACTTACTTAATTTTCTTTTATTTTTAGGCAGCTGTACCTAACCATGTGTGTTGACAATACTTACAGGCTGGAGACCTAGAAGAACTATCATTTTTGCCAGCTGGGATGCAGAAGAATTTGGACTTCTGGGTTCCACAGAATGGGCTGAGGTAAATAAGACAAAGAAGGTTCTTACTATTTTCTTGGTCAGCAGGGACCATGTATATATATATAAATACACCCACACACACACACACACACACACACACATCTCAGGATGATCAAAAATACATTCCATCACCTAATATAGTTTTGGTTTGGAGAATGACTCAAGAGAATTTAAGAAATGGTTTGTTTTTACTTTCACATCAGTTTGGCAATAACCTCTTATTACTAGGTTACAAACAAACTTATTGTCTCTTGTCAAAATATTATAGTTGCCATTTGTATTTGTTTTATAAAAAATAAGTAAAAACGGTAAGCTCAGAAAGTAATCAAAATTGGCAAGATGTTTTTGATAAGGGAATTAACTTATCTAAAAACTGATACAGATGCTTGGATCTAATTTTTAAGTTTTTAAGTTTCTTTAGACTTCTCCCATCTGAGAAAATAAAAGATGTTCTATTAAGATGGCCATATGTTGATGATATTTTCACATTTACAGATTCCATGTAAGATAGCAACCATAAGTATACTTTAGCATTTGCAACGAATATGTGCTTCATTGTTAAGTATAAAGTCTTAATTCTGTGAGTTGAATTACTTTAATAAATTGGCCTGCTTCACAATTTCAGAGGTGGGGTTTATTTTCTTCAGATATGATTGATTGTCATTTGTCACTAGCTGTTAGTTATTTATATTTAAGGGTCTCTCCTAGGCCCCTTTTCTTTCATCTTCTTTCTTTAGTCTCTCTGTAAAGTAATCTCTAAGTTCTTAATTGTAAAAGGTAAGCATATACTTTTTAAAAAAACTTTTAAGTTCAGGGGTACAAGTTCAGGTATGTTACACAGGTAAACTGTGTCATGGGGATTTGCCATACTGTTCAACAACTCTGCACGAGCTGATTTCTTTAGTTGGCATTTCCTGCCTGCCTTGACCAAGTGGTAGTAAACTTTTACTCTTTCTGCAAGACTAAGCTCCATAAACGCACAATTTGTGATCACATCTCTTCTAGAGGAGTGTTATCATGTATTAATAAGAATAATAATTGTAATAATAATTCTGTTGACTCGTACAGTAGCTACGTGATTTATCCATTTTAACTCATTTAACCCACGCAGTAAGTGATCAATAAATGTTGGCTCCCTTCTCTCTTCATCTTTACCTCTACCTTAACTTCACCTAGTTTTTCACATGTATAGCATTTTGAAAATTATTGGAAAAACTATTTTAAAAACTAGGTGAAGAGAGGATTTGGAAAAACCTAGTTTAAAATGTTAAACCTATAAAACTCAAATGTAGTAATTTTTGGGATTGTATGAAACTAATATTGTGATATTGCTAGTGAAAGACTATTTCATCACTCAATTTTATTTTATTAAGCCCAGTACCCACTAGTTATTGTCCTGACCCTCTCCTTTCTCCCAACTTCCACCCTTTGAAAGTCCCCAGTGTGTGTTGTTTCCCTCTATGTGTCCATGTGTTCTCATCATTTAGCTCCCACTTATAAGTGAGAACATGTGATACTTACTTTTCTGTTTCTGCATTAGTTTGCCAAGGATAATGGTCTTCAACTCCATCCATATCCCTGAGAAAAACATAGTCTCATTCTTTTAATGACTGTGTAGTATTCCAAGGTGTATATGTAACGCATTTTCTTTATCACATCAATCATTGATGGACATTTAGGTTGAATTCATGTCTTTGCTGTTATGAATAGTGCTGCAGTAAACATACATGTGTATGTGTCTTTATAATAAAATGGTATATTCCTTTAGTTATATACCCAGTAATGGGATTGCTGGGCCCAGTGCTATTTCTAGGTAGGTACACTGTGTAAGTACTTACCTTCCCTCCACCACCTGCTGTTTATCATTTAAAGTCCAGATTTTATAGAGCTGCTTTAAAATATGGCATACCTGTCTTGTCACTGTGTTTAGTTTTAAAGATGCTTTCCTCCTAATTCATTTTCTTTTACATTAGTTTAAAATACTATAATAAGAACAATATGAATCAAACAATATAGAGGGGTAAAATTCCCAATCACAGTTACTTGTCTGATATCATTTATCCTTTGTTGATTACATTTACACTGTGAATTGTTTTCACATTGATATTATTAATATGCATTTTGAAACTATAACATTAACTTGATGAGTCAAATTTTATTAGTTCAGGTCTGTTTTTCCTCCTGCTCCTGTGGTGGGTGAAGGTCATTGGCTTTTGGAAACGTGTAATTTCTTGTGACACATAATATATATAAATATGTGCTTCTGTTTTTTAAATTTCAGCAGCTGAATGTAAAGAAATCTAATTATAAAGTAATAAACATGCTTTATATTGATTTATAAACATGTGCATTAAAAGACAATTTCAATACAGTTTCCAGTTTTGTGCGAGGTTCTTGATTATATTCATCAGCGTATTTACCCTCTTTAAATACGCATAAAGAATTTTCTTTATTTCCACTATAAATCTGTTATAATAGAACCTTTGATTTTATATTTCTCTATAATGGAGTCAACTATCACCTGGCTGATGCAAGCAAGTACAAAGAGGTGACAGTTTTTATTTTTGCCATAACCACATACAGATTTAAATGTTTTTACTGTAACATATTTTAGAAAGCTAACAAGCCAGAGAGAGAGGTGAAGGGCTCTCGCAGTGTGTTCCCATCTGTGTGTAAGTGAATTAGTCTTGCTTTACTATATCTTTCTTGGATTCGTCTGTGTGTGTGTGTGTGTGTGTGTGTGTGTGTGTCTTGTTTTGTCTTTATCTGTGCCTCCTCTCTAATTTTTTGTCTTTCTTTTTTATTCTTTCACTTCTCCATATACATAGTAAATATAAACAAATGGAAATTTTCTATTTCTCACTTTTGAAATGATAAATTTACTTGGGTATCCACTCTAAATGGATCTCAAACTTCAGGGTATGTAAGACTCAATTGCTAGTTATATCCATTAGAAAATACAGATTTTTGGTTGGGCACAAGATTACGCCTGTAATCTTAGCACTTTGGGAGGCCAAGGAGAGCAGATCACCTGAGGTCAGGAGACCAGCTTAGCTAACATGGTGAAACCCCGTCTCTACTAAAAATACAAAAATTAGCTGGACGTAGGTGGCATGCACCTGTCGTCCTGGTTACTTGGGAGACTGAGGCAGGAGAATTACTTGAACCTGAAAGGCAGAGGTTGAAGTGAGCTGAGATCATGCCACTGCACTCCAGCCTGGGCAGCAGATTAAGACTGTGTCTCATAGAAAATAAAAAATAATTTTAAAATAACACATTTCCAGGCCTCACTTGTAGCAGTTCTGATTCAGTAGATCTAGGGCAGGGCCCTAGAATGTGGGAGCCATTTCCCTAACATCTTCGGATTCAGGGAATCAAGGAACCACACTTTGAAAATATTTTTTTCCCTGAGGGCTCTCTGCTTTTGCTATAAACAGTAGCTGTTGCTTCATAATATCCTTATTTCTTATATTAATTGCATAATTGTTGTTAACCAGCTGATTTTGTGCATTTTCTCAGAAATTATGGTCAAAGGCAGACATAGATATTTAATTCTGAAACATATTTGTAAACCAGTTTTCCACAAAATTAATTTGCTTATTTTGTTTACATTTTTACAATTGTAAGTAATGTGAATTAAGTAACAACTTTGCTTCAACTATAGGAGAATGCCAAAATACTCCAGGAGAGAAGCATTGCTTATATCAACTCAGATTCATCCATAGAAGGTAAATTTTATTTCAATTTATAGTAAAATTTTCAGAAAGTAAATTTTATTTCAAGTAATTTTACTTATTGTTTAGTAGGCCATTCATTAAGCCTGTGAATTCTAACTTATTAACCACCTCAGATATCCCCTTCCTATGAGATGCCTCAGTAATACTTTTATTTTTCATTTTACCACAAAGAAAATAATTAGGATTCAGATGAACTGATATGATTCATAACTAAGCTATTGCTTTTAACTTCTTTAATATATTTACTATTTACCTATATTAAATTACTACTTAAAATGCTAGTATTAACCCCATATTTTTTCACTATGGAGATATTAATGGAATTTGGCTGAAATAGTTCAGAAGAAAGATTTTACAGATATTTTGTCTAGAAATATTTCCTGTATTTTTTGTAAAAAAAAAAATTGAAGTAATTGTACTTACTCCTTTTGAACTGCAAACTCCTTTTGAATCTGTCATGTGAGATTTCCGTCTGTAGGGTTTCATTGCATTGTGATTATTTTTAAATAAATGTTAGAACATAATAATTACTGACATGGTTTTGTCTAATGTCTTGGTATATACTATTGCATATAATGAAACAAGTAAAAAACGAAAGCTATAGCCTTATCACTTCCTTTGCCAAAGTACCCCTAAGAATTGTTGCCATAAGAATGACTCTTAAAATCGCTATGGGAACTGCTACCTTGGCAACTGAAGTTCACCAAGTCCTTCTTTTATTCACATATGTGATGCAGCCTCTCTTGTTCCTGAAGAACTATTTCCACTCTGTTTTATTCCTTGGGAATGAAGTCTTTGATTTGAAGATTATTATATCTTGTTTAAAATTAGAACATAAATTTATAATTAAACATAAATGGAATCTCATTTAGAAGTATGAAATAATATTCTGTGTTTTTTTTCAGGCAATTATACTCTCAGAGTTGACTGTACACCCCTTCTGTACCAATTAGTGTATGAACTGACAAAAGAGGTATATTAGGAGATGTGTCTTCGTATGTTTTCTTTTGAATGGATAAATGAGTAATATGTCTTCTCCCCTAAATGAATGGTATTTTTAAGCTGGTGAGAGAACATTATTCAATCATATAAACAAGTCAAAACAAAATCTTTAATATGCTGTTTACCTATATGACATAACTAAGAAGACAGTATCACCAGTTTCTTTGTTCTAGTAATAGCCTTTATTAATAATTGTGTAAATAGTTACAATATGTATTTATCTGGTAGAGGTATTTGATACAGCAGAAAGAACACTGAGCTGGACTACAATGGCCTGGGGTTCAAAAACTGTCTTAGCTACTAATTCACTCATTCAGTAAATATTCATTGAGTGGTCACTATATGTCAGACTCTATAAAATGAATTATAGCAGCAATAGTGATAAAAGGACAAGGTCACTGAATTCAAAGACTTCGTAGTCTAGAGAGAACACAGACTGGTAAATGAGGAATTAGAGTTCACTAGAATATTTGATACCATGTATGATGGAGAAAAGTTAGGGGATAGAGAATATGAAATCCTGGGGTGGCTGGGGGCAGGTGAGGAACATAAGAAGAGGTTTACAGAGTCACTGATGCTTGGACTGTCAAATGAAGGGATGAAGAAGTAAGGGAGAGGGTATTCTAAGCAGAGGACACATTATCTAAAAAAGATGTGGAAGTATGAAAGAATATATTTCCTGATGTGTAGATAGCTCAGCATTGCCAAGCAAAAGGGAAAAAAAGTGGGAAAGATGGTAAGAAATGAGGCATAACAAATGGGCCAAGGAGTTCAGAAATCTGTTATGAGAAAAAATCATTAAAGAATTTCTAACAAAGTTGTGCATTGTTTTATATCAGTGTAGTGAATACATTAAGTAGCTGCAAGTCTAAAGGCAAAAAGGAAATAATTCTGCAAGCTTGCTAATCTCCCAGTAATTTATAAGTAATTTTATAAATATTAAATGAGTTATAGATATTAAAAAACTCCAAAATCTAAAGCACTCTGAATCTCTAAAACTCTATAATCTACTCATTTAATATCTGTGAGCATCATTTAAATAGTTCCTTGTGAAAGAATTGACCTGTCAAAATTTTCGCTTCAAGGTCAGCCTTAGATAACAATATGAAGTAGCTATCACTTCTCTCTGGGTACTATTAATATTTCCTAATCTTTCTTAATCTTACCAATCTCTTTTTACGTTAATGTCTTTAAAAACTAGTTTTCCAAATGAAACTCCTCGTATTTTCCTAATCACAATGCTCTAACCATCTTGGGTAGCTAATATCTTTAATCCTTTCATTGAAATGTTCCATAAAAGCATCTTATATAGAAGCTAGCTGAAAAGAAAATCTTTACTGAGGGAACATTTTTTGGAACAGGAGTTTATGGTTTGTGCTGTACTAGAGATAATCCCTGCCCTTGATGTCAGGAATGATAAGAATTTGGTGGTTGATAGAAGTTGATGTCTATGCCCCTTTGTACAAAGATAAATGCCTATCTATGAGCATGCTAAGACCCAGTAGACAAAAGAGACTTGTTTTTACTCTCCTATAAACTGATTATTACAATTTTATTAATTCCTAGTGTGTATTAGCACAAATAGTCAAGCCATATTAGTGACGTGAGGATAGGGTAGGAATGAGAGACAAGACTGAGCTTGGAGAGAAAGGCAGCTGCCTGATGGAGCAAGAGATGGGGCAAAGTATTGCTAAATAAGAGGAGGGCTATCAATTCTGACAATGCATATAGCTAAGATAAGACTGACCTTGCCAAGTATGGTGGCACATGCCTGTAGTTCCAACTAAGGCAGTAGGATCATCTGAGCTCAGGAGTGCACGCCATAGCAAAACCCTGACTCTCGGGGTGGGGGGAACTAATCTTGATTGCCTAGGTCAAAGGGATGTGATTTCTGATTAGTATTAGATGGGGACAGTATGATTAAGAAAATGAAGAGGATTTTTTTTTAAGTTTAAGGTGGTTTTTGTCTGGGGGTTGGGGGCTAGGGGAGGGATAGTAGGGAGTGGAGAGATTGGGAGGGATAGCATTAGGAGAAATACCTAATGTAGATGATGGGGGGATGGATGGATGCAGCAGGCATGTGTATACCTATGTAACAAACCTGCACATTCTGCACAGGTACCCCAGAATTTAAAGTATAATTTAATAAAAAATTTGCAAAAGAAAAAACAGTATAGTCAAGAAACATAAGAAAAATTGCTCATAAGAAAATGAAGAGGATTTTACTGGGAATTCAGTCTAAGCAGGAGGTAGAAACTGGAACAGAATCTCCCTCAACCATGAAGAATAGAACCCAGTTAGTTGGATAGAAATGAGCAGAACATCTCTGCAGCTGCTGCATGTTGGTAGGGAAGGATGTGCAGTGCCAAAGCTGTTTCTAAGCTGTGGATCCTATATGCAGTGATAAAGTACCATCCCATTCATCTTAAGCTAAGGGCAAGTGACCACTTCCCAGCCCTACCATTATTCTGTGGGAGAAGGCAGATTTACCACTGTTACCTTCTACTTGAAGGCTGACGTGGGCTTGTGTTATCAGTAAACACAACTCATTTGTGCCTCTTAGTAAGTGGGATGAGATTGAAACGGAAATTTTTCAAAAATACATGGCGGTATCCAACATCTTTATTAGATGCTCTTAAATTTAATTGCCATTTTCTCAGAAAGGCCTTACCTAGAGACACATCTATCTCCCATCCCCTATCCACATCTCTGTATAGCACTTTGATATTTTATTTTCAAATGCTTATTATAATTTTGTATTAAAAATTGTATTTGGTGTGTGTATCCCAGTTAGATTTAATTGTGAGGTCCAAGAGGGTAGAAACTATATCTCTCTTTCTGCATTTCTCTTCTGAGTTCAGAGCTTAGTAAATATCTATAGAAAACATTTTAAGAATAGTGGCACAGAAGTTAGAATAACCAACTCTGTCTAAAGGCCAGAGAAAATATCAGATTCTTATGTTAAGAAAGGTACCATTATCCCCATTTTTACAGGTGAGAAGACTGAGGTTCAAAGAGAGGAACCTTTGATTCACCAAGTTATAATCCTTTCACAGTTAGTTAAGTAGAGTCTGCCTTGGATGTATTTTTGAGCAAATCAGGGTTATAAACAAACAAGCAAATAAAATACGACCAATATGTGTAGCAGTCGAGATTTAAAATAGACCAGTTGGACTCCCTAGTCCATGGCCCACAATGTTTTCATCACATGGCCCTGCTCTTCTTAGAGTGTCAAAAGACCAAGCAAGTATAAGTTTGTAAATGTACTTTAATGAAAGAAATAAAAATGTTTATATACACACAAACATAGAAACTTTTAAAATTCCCAAGGAGTAATCTGAGGTAATGTAGACCTTTTAAAAAAAATCCATACAACTTTAACTTTGTATAAGACTTTCTAAAAGAATAATGCCCACTAACCTCTGCCTGCCCTGCAAAACCAAGACTTAAAGGTTAAGCTGAGCTTCAAATTATGTCACCTCTAATGTTCTGAGACTGCTTTGTAGGTCTTATTAGGCAAAAATAATTTACAAAAGCAAATGTTATATCTGAAGTATTCTCCAATGTCTTCCCACTAACAAATCTAAGCTGCCAAACATTAAAATGATGACATTGTAAAAACTTTAAATGCTATTTAAAGGTTCACCAAAATAAGCAGGAAATTACATCTTAGGTACATGGCAAAATTCCCAACACAGGTAGGCATCATGAATGAACAGTAATTTGGGCTAGATTTATTTCTTGCCATTTGCAAAAATAATTTCTCTATAAAGGAACTTATTTATACATGTATATAAATACATATATATGTCATTAAAAGTAGAAATGATGACAAATCACATATAGTTTTCTTTTGACATAAATATAGTTGTTTCTATCCCTAATTTCCAGTATTTGATTTATCTTTCTAGATCCCCAGCCCTGATGGTGGGTTTGAGAGTAAATCACTGTATGAAAGCTGGTTGGAAAAAGACCCTTCACCTGAAAATAAAAATTTGCCTAGGTAAGTTACTGGTATGCACCTTTCCTATCATAGGATAAATTATAAATTCCCCTCTACCTCCTGTTTCTCCAAACATGAAATTCTCAAATGTCTCATCAATAATTTGAGTCCAGAAAAGATAATAAAGAATTCCTGGCCTGGTGCGGTGATTCACACCTATAATCTCAGCACTTTGGGAGGCTGAGGTGAGTGGATTACCTAAGGTTAGACATTCAAGATCAGCCTGGCCTACATGGTGAAACCCTGTCTCTAATAAAAATACAAAATTAGCCAGGCATGGTGGCGGGCGCCTGTAATCCCAGTCACTCAGGAGGCTGAGACAGGAGAATTGGTTGAACCCAGGAGGCAGAGGATGCACTGAGCCGAGACTGCACCATTGCACTGCAGCCTGGGCAAGAGTGAAACTCCACCTCAATTAAAAAAAAAAAAAAGAATGGAAAAAAAAAAAAACAAAGGCTCCATTTAGCCTTTGTTTTGCTGGTAAGCCAGCACATGAAATCTTTCAGCCTGTATCAGAGCACAAATAGATACAGTTTTGCAAATTTTTAGTCCAAATAGTTTTGCTACATTATTAGTCACTAGTTGGCATTCTGGCATAAAATTTCATTTAGGTATGTATTAGGTGTATTAATATATAATATAACTTCAGATGATGATAATGAAGTTAAAAAACAAATGCTGGATTATTTGCTTGTAAATTTATTAAAGAGCATTATCAATAACCACTGAATTTTGTGATTAATTTAGAATATATATAAATATTTTTTGCCTCTTATTCATGCTACAGAAGCTTTCTTAAATTTATTTGTTTTCTTTTTTCCTAAACATTATGTACTAAAAAGTATCTATTTGTTTTCTACTGCAATGCCATTTCTAATACAGATTGAGCGTTCCTAATTCAAAAATCTGAAATCTGAAGTGGTCCAAAATCCAAAACTTTTTGAGCACCAACATGATGTCACAAGTGGAAAATTCCACCCATTATAGTACTTAAGACAAATGTTGTTTCGTACACAAAATTATTTTAATTATTATATAAAATTAAATTCAGGCTATGGATATAAGGTATATTTGGAACATAAATGAATTTTGAGTGTAGACTTGGGCCCCATCCCCAAGATATCTCATTACATATATGTAAATATTCATAGTCTGAAAAAAATCTGAAATCCAAAATACTTCTGGTCCCATTTCATATGGGATACTCAACATGTACAAGCACATAATAGTAAGTTTATAGCTTTATTCCTCATTTCAAATTGGTCTTGTGAAAGTTTGAATGTGGATCCACTATAAAAGTTTCACATGCCAATTCAACAAAAATAGTAATATACAAAAGTGATTTTTAAAACATTGAAGCACTCAGTCTCAAAAACACATATAATAATCTAATCATTTGGAAATATATAGTTATGTTTTGAATGCACATGCAATTTTATATTCTGCTTTCATGACTTACCACTATTTTACAAAAAATTTGTCATGTCTTACATCTTATGTGTGTGTGTGTATATATATATATATATGTGATAGAGCAGTAGAGGTTTCTTAATCATATGCAAAGAAATAAATTATAATTAGATTTATTTCTAAAATCAAATAAGGCATCATATTTAGATTATTTATGATCTTAAATGTAGACTTTTTAATGGCAATTTTCTTTTTCTTTTTTTTTTTTTTTTTTTTGAGTGGAGTCCTGCTCTGTTGCCCAGACTGGAGTGCGGTGATGCAATCTCAGCTCACTGCAACCTCCACTTCCCAGTTCAAGCAGTTCTCCTGCCTCAGCCTCCTAAGTAGCTGGGACTACAGTTGTCCGCCACCAAGCCCAGCTAATTTTTGTATTTTTAGTAGAGACAGGGTTTCACCACACTGGCCTGGCTGGTCTCAAACTCCTGACCTTTTGACCTGCCCCTCTTGGCCTCACAAAGTGCTGGGATGATGATCTCTGAGAGCCGGGCCCATGTCTTTGTTGTTTTCCCCTCTAAACAAAAATGTAAATGCTGAAAACATGATAGAAAGCATCATCACCAGGCTGCAGTCTTTGGTGGCACAGCCCAATTTAAATATAGGTTGGTGCAAAAGTATTTGCCATTTTTGCCATTACTTTTAATTTTCTTTCTTTCTTTTTTTTTTTTTTTGAGACGGAGTTTTGCTCTTGTTACCCAGGCTGGAGTGCAATGGCGCAATCTCGGCTCACCGCAACCTCCGCCTCCTGGGCTCAGGCAATTCTCCTGCCTCAGCCTCCTGAGTAGCTGGGATTACAGGCACACACCACCATGCCCAGCTAATTTTTTGTATTTTTAGTAGAGACGGGGTTTCACCGTGTTGACCTGGATGGTCTCAATCTCTTGACCTTGTGATCCACCCACCTTGGCCTCCCAAAGTGCTGGGATTACAGGCGTGAGCCACTGCGCCCGGCCTTAATTTTCAGCATTACTTTTAATTTTACAGCAATTTTCCAGAAGATTATGAAAAAATGTCTTGAGGGTGGTTGACCTTTTTAAAATTCTTGTAAATGTAACATGTAATTTCTTGCTATTCTCGGGACAGAATTCCTTGTCCCGTCTATTTAATTTTGTATCATTTACTTGTTTCTGTATCTCTCTCTCTCTCTCTCTCTCTCTCTCTGTGTGTGTGTGTGTGTGTGTGTGTGTGTGTGTATTGCATTCTATATTTAGAATCAGTAAGCTGGGATCTGGAAGTGACTTTGAAGCTTATTTTCAGAGACTTGGAATTGCTTCAGGCAGAGCTCGTTACACTAAGAATAAGGTAAGCCATTTTATCAGTTTGAATACATGACATTTCATCTACAGTCCTTTAGTGAGGGATGTCACTGAGTAGTTGGGCACCAGATACCTGGTGGATGTAGCCTCGGAAGAGGTCCCAGGGATAGAGATAGACTGCATGTCCCTTTGCAGATGGACAAGGAAGTAATTTGAGTAATTTTGTGAACATTTCATTGTTATGGCTAATCAAAGAAATGGTGATTCACAAGGTAATGTCAGACACTTAGCTGGTTATCAGTACTAAGTAGTTCACATCCTTTTCTTAATTTGTCAGAAAAATCTCATTCTCTAGCCTAGTCTTGCAGGTTCTGCTGTGCTTTTCAGGAGGAAAAATGCAGTTGGAGAATATATTTTGGTCAAGGGAAGTCTTAGGGCAAGATTCATTATTGTCAGTAGCTCCTCTTCGTATTCCCACTTCTGCCTGTCACCTGAGTCAAGGATACTTGGTTGGGAAATAAAGCAAGTTCCTCTTTTTAACTTGATCCTCTTTTCTATTCTGCACTGACTGGTTTGCACCACTGCCACACAGACATCCTGATGATATGCAAGTTCTTGAATATAACCAACATATCCCATATTTGCTCATCAATGTTATAAATTATTTCATAAACCAAATGGAAGATTACAGTAGCAGACACAGATTTGTCATAGATTTTAATCAGTCTTCAAATCATAATTGCAGTACCTAAATCTTGCTTGCTCATTATATATATATATATCTTGCAAATTTGAATATTCAGAATACAACAAAGAAATGAAAGCAACTCAACCCAAAATAGAGAGATAAACTCAGTAAACTAACATTTATTACATTTAATATGTAAAAGATGCATTTTAACTCTTTTTCAAGGCCTGTTCACTTTTATACTTTGTCTTCTGTAATTTGATCACAGTTATCTGTTTTCTAAGATCACTTTAGATTAGAAGCAGACAATTAGATAGAAGAAGGACTGACACAGGGATTGCTTTTTAGTGATATTAAAAGCAGTAAGAACAATAGCCCTATAGCAAGAAAGCAAATGGTAAAAACTAAAATTAGAATAGGCAGACCGTAGAACCAAAAAAAATTTATAAAGTATACTACTATGTAATAATTCATATTCATAATAGTACTTTTAATTATGTAATAAAGCTTAAATGACATTTAAATATGCACTGCTCTGGAAGGAAGAGAAGGTACTGAAATAAATCATCCTTAAGCTCTATACTTAGCTGCCTAGAACCTTTTTTTTAACTAATCAATTGATAGGTAACTTTGAACTGTGCTGAGGTGCAATTTGAATATGTATTCCCTAATTTTACTTATTGAAGATACAACAAGGAAAATATTCAAGGTGTAGCATTTTGAATGAAGGTTACATACATTATAAAATAAATATGAGAAAATTTTTGAAATCAGTGAATATTTTATTACATTGTTTTAGTTATTAGCTTTTTGCCTCATTGTGATAAAACTCAGGGTGTTATATGGTTGTATTTTTTCTTTTTCTTTTTTCAAATTTTTAGTAGAGATGGGGTTTCTCCATGTTGCCTAGGCTGGTCTCGAACTCCTGAGCTCAGGCAGTTGGCCCGTTTCAGCCTCCCAAAGTGTTAGGATTACAGGTGTGAGCCACCATGCTTGGCTGGTTGCATTTTTTCTATAGTTATTTTTATGTTTACATAAAAATATTATAACTTGAGTATTTAAGGTTTATTTATACTTGCCTCCCCCCATTTTTTTTTAGAAAACAGATAAGTACAGCAGCTACCCAGTGTACCACACAATTTATGAGACATTTGACTTGGTAGAGAAATTTTATGACCCCACATTTAAAAAGCAACTTTCTGTGGCTCAGTTACGAGGAGCACTGGTATATGAGCTTGTGGATTCTAAAATCATTCCTTTCAATATTCAAGACTATGCAGAAGCTTTGAAAAACTATGCAGTGAGTATCTATAATCTATCCAAGAAACATGACCAACAATTGAGAGACCATGGAGTATCGTTTGGTAAGAAATAGTTGCGCTGATATTTTACAGTCTTTAAGGTAGAGCTTGAAGATGTTATCTCCTATCATGAACAATGCGTATTGTTTCATCCTAGATTACATATTTGCCTTACGTATTTTGACTTCTACACAAAAACTTTAAACAAACACCTATTGAAGAGTCTAATTTAATCTGGCATGTATCAAATGAATCCATTATGGCTGAGTTATTACCACAAACATTGGGATGGTAAACATTTTTCCTATATTACGGCCTTTAAAAATTTTTACTAGGAATAGCATTTGAAAAATGTCACGGTATTTTTAAATACCGAGAAGTAGAGAAAGCCATAAATTCTATTACATACATATTATTAATTATTATCATCATGATTATTACTGCATATATCTTTTAGTGTTTGTCTATATGAAACGTTTTTTACTTGGTCATAAGCATTATATCCTTTTATTAATGACTGTTTAGTGGTTGCCCTTCTGCACTGTGCATCTCCTCTACAGCAGGGATGAATCATAAAGTAGTGTATGTAGTAGAATTCAGGGTTGGGTTTGGAAGTGGATTGCCTGCTTCAGACACTAGCTTTACCATTTTTTCACTGTGTGACCTTTGGAAAGTTACTTAACTTCTCTATGTGTTAGCTTTCATATAATGAAATGATAAAAAAGAATATATTAAGTTTCAAAGGTCATTGTGGAGATTCAGTTAGGTAACATATAGAAGTTGTGGCAGGTGGCACTTAGTGCTCATTAAATGTTACCTATTATTGCTGTTTTATTACAACCTTTGTTTTTTATTATTCAAGGGGAACATATTTTTAGTATGTGCCTAAATTATCAAATATGCACTAAGTTTCTATTGTGTATTAAGTACTACGTTTTTGCCTGGGAGATAGAAGTATGTATAAGGCACAGTCATAGTCCTAAAACAGCTTGAAGTCTCATGTGGGGAAGAAGGCAATATGCAGAGAATAGGATATTATGGGGGTATGTAGAGAGTGCTGCAAGAACACAGAGAATGGGTATGAAATAGTAATGACTTCTGAATATGATTATATAAAGGATCAGTATTAGTAATCTTTATGAGGTTATAAATAACAGCAAGTACTGTGGTCTAGAAAAAAGTGAAGCAAAGAAAATGTGATTATATCAATACAATTGGAGTATCTCTGCGATGATGGGGGAAATAAGGAGATAAAACCAAAAAATGAGCAGAGCCTACAGCAAAATGGACATTCATAGTTCTGTGGCTATTCAGCATCCAGTTGTCTTCCCAAATGCCCTGAATTCCTTTTGGTGAATGATCTCTTACCAGTTTGTATAAGTCAGGGTCCAATTAAGAGACAGAAAGTACACAGTAACAGTGGAAGGGCTTTCTTCATACAAGATTAATTCCCCCACCGACTTACCTTCTTAGAGGCCTGGTTTCCCTGTCATATTTTCAAAAATCACCATTACTATTGGTGGCTATCCATTAGATTAATTATTCTTATAGCTTTTCTATTTCAAAAAAAAAATTTCTTCTGCCTGATGTGTCCCAGTTTCTTCACAATCAAAATTCCTCATTTAATGCCAGGCAAAAATGGTTCCTGAGGAAACACCTATTAGTGTAGGAATGAAGGTATGATTGATGAAATAAGTGAATGAATACATAATCTGCACTCTCTGTCTATAGTTCTTTACCTCTTAATAGCCAATCCACTGTGCTGTCTTATGTCCTTTCTACTCTAGTAAAACTGCTCTTGCCAAAGTTGTCATTGACATGTGTCACTAAATCCCAAGAATACGTTTCAGTTCTCTATCTTGACTTTTGTCCTGCATTTGACATTTAAAATTCTGTCTTCAGCATTCTTTTCTCATAGTTTCCATTGCATCTATTATTACATTATTTGGTTTGAAGATGGTTTAAAAACAATTAAAACTTAAGGAAAATCTAGAACTAAAAGATTGCTTTTAAAAAATAGTGATCATACTTATACTGAATGTACTACTTCCTAGCTAAAGCACTTACAGTTCAGGTTTTCTATTAGGTCAGACCTAATACAAATTAGGTAATAGAAATAGAAACAAAAATCCTTTCTATTAGGTGTGACCTAATAGATCCTGAGCTGTAAGTGCTGTATCTATAAAATGAATATCGTATTTCCTGCTTTGTTTATACCACAGGATTGATGCAAGCAACAAATCAATAATGTATATTTAAAGTCCTGTGTAGAAAATATGGAAAATAACTACACTGTTGTAATAAAAAAAATGATATACAGTCAGCCCTCTCTATTGGTGAGTTTTGCATCCATATATTCAGCCAACTGCAAGCCACAAATATTCAGAAAAACAAAAATCCACTAAGTTCCAAAAAAGCAAAACTTGAATTTGTTGTGCTCTGAGCACTACAGTGAATGTACATGAAGGAAGTGATTTATAGACATTGTATTAGGTATTATAAGTAATCTAGGGATGATTTAAAGTATAGGGGAGGATGTGTATAGGTAACAGGCAAATAGTATGCTATTTTATATAAGGGAGTTGCTTCTATGGAATATGATATCTGCAGGGTTTCTGGAACCCAGGCCCCATTGAAACTGAGGTATGACTGTACTGAGAACCTAATCACTTTCCATAGAAGCATTGTGAATTAAGGAAGACTTTGACCAGACCAAATCTGATCCTCTTTCTCAGTATTTGGATATATCAGTTTGTCACAGCTTAGCTGTTGAACAAGATTTAAATACACTATTTGAAAACAAGAATTTGTATTTTTTTGCCTTGCAGTAATTAGAGAATCATAGCTGATACATAGCTGTGTCCAGTGTCTAGCATATAGTTGTTGTCTCAGTGTGTATTTGAATGATGAATAAATTAAGAATGCTGGGTTTCTGGTAAACTCTGGGTTAAGGAATTATTTGTATCCTAGATTTTTGAAAGTTATTTTCTTTAAGAACCAATTTTGCTGTTTTTTGCTTTCATACAATATTTGTTATATTTTCTGCTGATTTTCATGGATCTGCAAGAAGACTCAGTAGAAAAATGGCTTTGGCATCTATGTGGTCATGTCAGTCTGGAATAGGGAGGGTGGGAAGCAAAGCCCTGAAATGTGTAGCACGTGTGCTAATTTCTCTTCTGCCTTTCTATTTTTAAAAAAGACTCTTTATTTTCTGCTGTGAAAAACTTCTCAGAGGCCGCTTCAGACTTTCATAGACGACTTATACAAGTTGATCTTAACAAGTAAGTTTCAAATACCTACCTTTTTTTTTTTTTAAGCAATCTGGTTACTAGAATGAATTGTTTTCACTCATATCAGCCTTAACTCCTAAATCACTGCTATTCAAATTACAGTCTGCAAACCAGCAATAGGAGTAGTACCTGGTAACTTGTTAGAAAGGTAGAATATCAGTCCCCACACAAGACATAATGAATTAGAATTCTGCGTTTTAACACCGCCCCCCCCCCCCCCCACCATCCAATGATTTAAAGTAACAATAAAGTTTGGGAAGCATTGCTCTCAATGGTAGACTAAAATCTCATCCCAAAGAGACAGGAGCCAAAAGGACACATTGTTAGGAATTTGCATGATGACAGTTCTGACAATAGATGGAAATTCATAGCTTTATGGGTTTAAGGGCATTTGTAATATATTTTGCTAGTGCTTTGTCCAGTACTCCTAAGTACCCATTTAAAAATTCTTTTATCATTGATAATTTTTTTGCATTTTATTTCTTTCCACTTTTAAATTGAAAAGTTTTTAAAGTACAAAGTAAATACCATGTAGCAAGCATAAATTTATCCACAGTAGAGTCCATGTCACGTTTATTTTTTCAGACTTAATCAGAATAAACTTTGGCACTTCCCATATTGGAAGAAAGCTGTATCAGTTATTTTAAGGGACCTCATTCTCCTTTGGATTGTAGGGGAGCCCAGGGAACTTATTCAGCTCCCCAAAGGGAAATTCTGAGTGTAAAAAGTATTCCCTATCCATTGTGTTCAGCTATCTCTTACCCACCTTACAGACTTGTGAAACCATTCACTCTTTGTTATCCACCTTTATCTGCTCCTTTTTAATGCAGAATTGAAAGACTTATTAGGAATAACTTAAGAGTTCACTCTGTCTACCTTTCCAGGAGGCCTGGCTATCTTCTTAGAAAGAAGTAAAGAATGTCTTTGAGTTCTTTTTGATTGGTGTGTGATCTAGAAAAATATAACAAACAATTTAGGTCTCTCTCCTGACTGTAAATATTACAAAGATGACCCTGCTATTGTTTGTAGCTCACCACATAAAGCATTACCATGTTAATATTCATTTTGTTAAAAATTTATCACTTTTAGAAATGAATTTTCCCAAGCCTTGTTTTTATTTAATATTATTTTGAAACATGAATGTAGTTTGGTTTATAATTATATATATGTTCTTCTCGAAGTCCCATTGCAGTGAGAATGATGAATGACCAACTGATGCTCCTGGAAAGAGCATTCATTGATCCCCTTGGTTTACCAGAAAAGCCATTCTATAGGTAAGGAAACAACAGGTGATCCACTAAAGGGCACCAAATACATCACTGTGACCAAAACCAGCATACCTGAAGTCAGCTTTAATGCCATTAGATGGGTGAAAGGCAAATATGTACACTGAAGGGAATTTGGGTAAGATTGTGCATCTAATAATAGTATAATACATACTCGAAAAATAAATTTCATATTGTTTATTGCTCTGCTGTGAGTGAAAATGGTAAAGGCTAGTTAAAAAAGAACTCTAACAAAATCTTCAAACTGTATAATCTTAAAGGGAATTTTAGAGCTCATCTAGTTCAACCTTCTACATGAATCATTTCTATAGAATCTCAGATAAATAGTTATCCAGTCTCTGAATCTTCCAGTGATGGGAAGCTTACTACCTCATGAGGAAGCCCATTTCACTTTATGAAAGGTCTAATTATTAGAAAGTTTTCTTCATAAAGATGTAACATCTATTTTCCTGTAATATTTTTCTCTTTGAGTTTGTTCTGTTATTCAAAGTCAAATAAAATCAGTCTAGCTCTGTTTCCATATAATATTTTAGGTTTTTGAGATGGTTCTCAACGATGGTTAGATTTCATTTCTTGACTTTAAAATGGTGCAAAGGCAATATACATTAAGCAGAAACCATACTTCAAGTACCCATACAACCATTCTGGGTTTCATATTCAACATGAGATATTCAACACTTCCTTATAGAATAGACTTTGCGTTAGATGATTTTGCCCAACTGTAGGCTAATGTAAGTGTCCTGAGCACACTTAAGGTAGGCTAGGCCAAGTTATGATCTTTGGTTGATGAGGCATACTAAATGTATTTTTGACTTGTGACATTTTCAGTTTATGATGGTTTTTATCAGGACACAACCCACTGTTAAGTCAGGAAGCCTCTGTATTCCATTTTCCTATCTGTATCTCTGCAGCATGTTCTCTTTCAGTGTTGTGGCTCCATGCCTTTGGATGATCTCTGTTTGCTCAAGGTCCTTTTTAAACAGTTGTTCTCTAGTAGAAATTAGAAAGGTCCTAAAATTCAAAGCCAGAAAATCTGTATTCCAATTCACTTGCAGATATGTGATTTAGAGCAAGTAACTCCTAGGGTTTTCCCATCTGAATTAAGATGATGATAATTGCTACTTTACAAGGCTATAATCAAATAACATGCAAACAATAATAATAAAGGTCTATATGTTACCTTTCTTATACATGTTAATGATTAACATTTAGATAATTACAAGCACAGGTTTTTAGAACCCATCTCTGCCACACACACACATCTTAGTTTTTTTTTCCCAAGTACTTACTATTATGAAAAGTATTGACACAGTATGGATGTCCTTGTGTCCTATTTGAACATTTGTTAATATCATTGTAATCACCTGGGATTGCAGGGTAAAAGGTAAACACATTTTCAAATTTAATTAGGTTATTGCCAAACTGTCCTCCAATATGTCCTACCATATTTTCAAAAATGCATTTTGAACTATTAGCTGAATATTAAGATTATATTTTAATGCTAATTCTTATTTTTGTTTTAGTCTACTGCAGTAGTATGGAAATAAGTTCTTCCTTAATGATCATAAGGATTACTTTACAGATTGATACGACATATTGCACTTTTCCCAATAACTGCTGAGAGAAATGTAGCTATAATACCAATTCCAGCTACCCAGAATTTCTCATTTGTCTTAAATAATTTAATTCAAAATAATTTTTTTCTCATCGGGCAATGTAGATCAGGTTAAAAATGATCTTGTAAATCTAATAAAATCTGAAAGTAAAAATTTTCAGTATGTGTAATGGATGAATGACATTTTTAAGATCTGCTATTTCATGAACCTCGAGAAAGGAGAGATTACCAAATACGTAGTGTAATAAAACTGTTCTAGCATGTAGAATTTGATAATTAGACTAAGAAAATTAGACTAATCTGATGTATATATGTATAGCCATTATATATATGTATATGCATTATATATGTATTGTTAAAAGAAAAACCTTAGCCAAATTATATTTAACAACATTTAATTGAGCAAAGAATAGTAGACTCAGAGAGACCCCAGTGCAGCCACGTGATGGATGAGGATTTATAGACAGCAAAAGGAAAGTGACATACAGAAAACGGAAATGAATTACAGAAACAGCCAGATTGGGTATAGCTCAGAGTTTACCTTATTTGAACACAGTTTGAATTGCCCCCCTTGATTGGCCAAAACTTGGTGATTGGCACAAGAGTAGATTCAGTTTGTTGACAACTCCATTTAGGTTATTGTTCACTATGTACAGAGAAACCTTTAGGCTGAACTTAAAATATTTAAGGAAGCAGCTTTAAGTTAAACTTGATTTAAGAGTTGAGATTCAGTAATGAATAAATCATAGAACATTGTACATATTTTAAAATAAAATGTTTTTAGTATGGAATATATAAAACATTTATCTTAAAATTCAGAAGCATAACTAAATGTTTACTGTGAATAAAAAACATGTGTCTTAGTCCATTTCTGCTGCTATATCAAAATACCTGAGACTGGGTTATAACAAAAATTTATTACTCACAGTTCTAGGCTCTGGGAAGTACAAGATTGGTGTCAGCCAATTCAATGTTTGATGAGCACCTGTCCCATACATGGCATTATTTTCAGGGTGTCCTCAGTTGGCAGAACAGATGGAAGGGCTAGCTAGCTTCCTTCATTGTCTTTTATAAGGGCTCTAATCCCTTAATACTGTCACATTGGAAATTAAATTTCAACATATAAATTTGGAGAATGAACACATTCAGACCATAGTAGCATGCTTGATAAATTTTGCAAACTTGATTATTTTTGAGTTGTGGGTAATACATTGAAACTATCACAACAATGACGAATAAGTAATAAATCCTTCCTTATCTACCACTGAGTTCATTTTCTATATTCTTTCACTCCTCCTGTTTTTTCCCTAATGAAAGTTCCACATAAATTAATTATTCTGTGTGGTAAGCATAATAATGGCCTCCCAAAGATGTCTATTTTCTAAACCCCAGAACATTTGAATATGTTACATTACATGACAAAGAGGACTTAAGCTGGCAGATGGCATTTAAAGTTACTAATCAGCTGACTTTAAAATAGGAACAGCATTCTGAATTCTACTGGTGGCCCCAATGATGTAATCACAAAGGTCCTTAAAAGTCTTCCTATGAGAGTCAGGCAGGAGAGAGAGTTAGGGCAATGCCACTGAGGAAGACTCAGTCTGAAATGCAGTTGTGGATTTTGATGGTGAAGGAATGTGAGAGGCCTCTAGAAATTGGAAAAGCAAGGAAAAGGACTCTCCCCCTCCTTCCTCCAGGAAGGAATGTGGCCCTGATCATACTTTGATTTTAGCTCAGTGAGACTTATGTTAGACTTTTAACCTATAGAACTGTAAGATAAAATCGTGTTTTTTAAGCCATTAAGTTTGTGGTAATTTGCACAGCAGGAATATAAAATGAACACACTCTGTAATGTAATCTAAAAAGGATTAAAGCTTACTTTTCTTGCAAACATCAAGTGAAATACTGTAAAAGTCTTTAAAAACTGCAAAGCACTTGATTATGAAATTCTAAAAACATTTGCATTATCATAACTCATCAGTGAACAATTACTATGTACTGAGGAAAAGGTTGAGGGAAAAAGAAAGACCATGAAGTGTTGACTGTATTTTATAGTCTGCTACAGTAGTTCTTGATACCTCTTAAAAATTCAGAAATGTTCATTTTGGAGGGTAATTAAATCATCATATACTTGAAACCCTGAGAACTAGACCACAGTTGGAATTGTTATGGGACTAAAATAGCTATTTGAGTCCACCAATTCACAGAAGGGTATTTGAATTCTTAAGCATTACCAATTATCGATCATTTCTTTTAGTTCACTGCCTGCTTCTTATCTGAGAGAATTATGAAAAGGATTTAGCTTCAAAATAATAGCTAATGATTTTTACAACAATGTGAGGACAGTACTTTTATCACCACCATTTTTAAGAGAACAGGCACAGGGAGGTTAAATAAACAGTGCAAGGCCACAAGGCTGATAGTGGACAGTATTCTGGTGATAGTAAATTTGCTAGTATTCTGCAGTCTCACTCTACAACCCACTCAGTCACTACTCTATGCAGTCTATATTATTTCAATTATTTTACACATCTGGGACAAGTTTAGATAAGCTAGCCAATTTTCCAAAGGTCACTGAGATATTAAATGCCAGATCAATGATTCAAAGGTTATTCTATTCCTACATCAATTTTTTTTTTTTGCTATATTCTTCGTTTACAATTCTCCCAAAGTGGGTAAGTATACTGAGGCATACCTATGACTTGTACCTCTAATTTCTTGACTCATATACAGGTCAGGATACCAATGCCTATCAATAGCTTAGCACTTATACTGATTTGAATAAAAAATACCCATCTGAGACCATAAATTTAAAAGCCAAGATAATAAATCCTGATGTACACTGGTAAATCTGAATGAGTATTATATAGATTTGTCATCGATTATTAATACTGACTTATATGGAGCTATGTATTGCTTTATATAGATTTATTCTAGAATAAGCTCTGGGATTGGACTATTGGACCTAATTCCTGATATATTTAATAAAATATATCCCTTTCTGGAAAGCAAAGTACTACAAACTTATTGGGGAAAGAATTAGCTTGATCCCTTGAGTTACTTACATTGAAGTAGAAAAGCAATTACAAAACTTTCTTTCTAGATCAAAAGTTGGGTGTCTTTGTGGGCAACCCACATATAATTGTTCTACCTTTGTGGAATGGACTTCATTATCCTTGGCATTTGTGACATTTTGGAATAAAGACTTCTATAAACAATTGCTTTTTAATGTTTAAAAAGTATTGGGAACAATTGTCATTCTTGTTTAATCTATTTTTAAAAAGCAACACAAAAATAATCTCTTTCAATCTGCTTTTATTAAAAATATCCGTATACTTACATATTATCATGCTTTTGAGTGTTCATGGGCAGCTGAATGATTATTCTGCACAACTTACAAGAACCTACTTCTTTCCAACTGTTTTGGGTTTGCAACATGGTTAATGATTGGTGAGATATGTCTTAGAAAATGCATATTTTAGCTCCTTTCTTGGCTTAAATTTATAATTTGCATAAATATCTCAAATCAGTTGTCTTCCTGTTGTAGTTACAAAAGTGAATGTCACAAGGAAACATAATGTGGTCTAAGAAAAGGAAACAAAAAGCATATGAAATATATGTATACACTTTAGTTCAGTTTGCCTTTTTTTTTTTTTGTTTTAGGCACATCATATTTGCTCCAAGTAGCCACAACAAATATGCTGGAGAATCATTTCCTGGCATCTATGATGCTATCTTTGATATTGAAAATAAAGTCGACTCTCGTTTGGCCTGGAAAGAAGTAAAGAAACATATTTCTATTGCAGCTTTTACAATTCAAGCAGCAGCAGGAACTCTGAAAGAAGTGTTATAGGAAGCTCTCACGTGGGTAGCCATTAAAGGTACTGCTCAAAGTCTGAGGATAAAATTCACCTTTCTGATAACTTATGAAGCCAGGGTGTTCTACAGTCTTGCTGTCATGTTTTGATTATAGGCTTTGACCTTGCTCATCTGCAAAGCGTTTCTTTCTTCTTAAAAAAAAATAATTATATTAGCAAAGTGTTAATCTAATGAAATTAAAAATTCCTCTTTTGGCAGAATGAGAAAGTAAAATTCCCTAAATTATAGCAAGGAACTTGAATTCTCAAACATGGTGAGTGTGGGAATGTACAATGGTAAAACCACTTCTGAAAACAGTTTGGCAGTTTCCTATAAAGTTAAACATATACTTTTACTTTGTAACTCCAGAATTCCACTTCTAGGTATATATTCAAGAGAAGGAAAAACAATGATCACAGCAATACTTGAATGCATGTTCACTGCATCTTAAAAGTGGAAACAACTTAAATGTCCAATAACAGATGAACAGATAAACTGTGGTATATCCACAATAGACTACTATTCAGCAATAAAAATGATATAACTTTCAATAAATGCAATATTACTGGCAGATATTGTTGAAGGAAGAAAGCCAGACACAAATAACTACATAGTATATGCTTCTATTTAGATGAAGTGGCAAACTAATCTGTGGTGTTAGAAATTAGATGAGTGATTGCCTGGGCAAGTGACAGGTTGGGGAGGATGGCTGCAGAGAAGTATGAAAAAACTTTCTCCAATAGATGAGAATTTTCCCTATCTTGATCTGAGTGGTAAATTGTAAACTTAAAATATATACATGATTTACTGTATGAAAATTAAGTCTCAATAAATGTGATTAAAAAAAAGTCTGGCAAGGAAATCAGAGTAATATACCTTCTCTTGTGAAATCACCATTAAGTGTGGTCAGGAAAAAGCCAGTAATATTCACATATTTAATAATTTCAGCTCTACTTAATAAACACTAAGTCTGACGGGTGATGAAAATAGCTACTACAGTTTTCACACTCTAACTCCTATAAAGAATATATATCAGAGTCTGCAAACTTTTATGCAGATCCCAATGACTCAATTACAGGTAAACTATGATTAAAACTTCAATAAACTTGGTTGTTCCTCTGCTACACCAAAACAAGTCAAGAATTAAAAATCACAAGAGCCGTCATAGGAAGGCACAAAAACTAAAATAGGAAGTGACAGCTCAAAGCTTAACTACAAGGAAACACTACCCGTTACCCTTGCTCCCAGGACAATACAGTTTGACTTAAAACAGTGGAGCATTTAGTCTAGGGACATTTTCTATACATCTCACTATTACTAGAAGGTATTTCGCTGATCTCCCACAATAAAATAAGTTGCAAGTATAGCAATGACTCTGTCATCAAGGTAACTTTTAAGTATGTTCCTTTTCTTCTGCTTAAAGAGGCAGTAAGTTGTGTTACTTATGAAGTATAAATATACGCTATTAAGACGTTTGTAAAAGTTTTTCTCAAATCTAGGGAGTCAGCTTCACTACCACGCTACACTACCTTAGTACAATACTTTAACTTTTGCCGTGAAGCATTGTGTTGTAGAAAAAATACGACATTAAGACACATGAATTATCCTGTCTACTACCCACCTGAGTACATCACTATGTATCTCTGGGCATCAGTTCCCTCCAACTCTATGATTTCTAAAGGAGACAAAGCACAAAGGTTTAGAAATCTCTTGGATATTCGTCCTACTGGTAGTTTTCCTGAAGACAAAACAGCATATGTAGTTTGAAATACAAGTTTGGGGTAAAATAGTAATTACTGCAACTTATTTTTCTTTTAATTCTTATTCTGCTTTTATCATTTGTAATCAATATCTGATTGTTAGAAACAGAACAAGTGATTGTGTGGCATGCTCTATCATCAATTCAGGACATTGAATATAGGATATGTGTTATCACATGCTAAACAGGGCATGTTTGAACTTTTTAAAAAAACTTTTCCCCCTAAGCATTTGAGATCAACTGAATTAAGCTGTTAATCATTATTCCCCTTTTATTTCATTCCTTCATCCAAGTCCTGAGATACTATTTCTCTTAAGAATACTTAGGAAATAAGGAAATATTTTGTTACAGTATATTTCCTGTTTTAAAACATACTTTTAAAATCAAATAGGCCATAAATTATTATAATGTGATACTTTTAATCATTTATCAAACCAAAATATGGTTAATTAGAAGTGGTCTAACATAAAAATTAGTAAGTAAAAAGCATGTGAAATGTATGTTGTATATACTTTACCCAGAAATTCTAAAAATCGGTTTTTATAGAGAAAACTGGACAGAATGACAATATATGTGATACAAGGGTGTTTACTACAGCATTTTTTAAAATCATAGTAAAAAATAAGTCACAAGCTAAATACCAATGGGGAATTGATTATAGTATAAAAATGATCATAAAATGATTATATACACATTTTTCATTTATATGATAAGTTGTCCATGACTTGCTGGTTTAAAAAAAGAGACAAAGCTAAATATATAAATATTAAGGAAAATATCAACAGTGCTTGCGTTTTGGTGGTAGAACTTTATGTGATCTGTACTCTGTATTTTTCTGAATTGCTTAAATTTTTTACATGAGTGTATTTCCTTTTGTAAAGGGTAAAATGATAAAAACTACCTTTTGTCTGTTTTCATTTTGAACAGACAAAAGTACAGAGTAATGGGATGCAATACAGTTCACAAATAATCCTATTTTGTACCCTTGAAATTTATGAATTTATCCTATTTTGAGGATACAAATAACACTCATTTATATACATATACATGGGATATCTTAAGATTTCCATGTAGTTCAGAATTTCAAAAATAGCAATCAATCCTTGAGCTTTCAAGTATAGAAATGAGTTTATGGTAAAATAACCTTTGAAATAATTACAGTACTGTACTGATTTTTTTTTCTTATAATTGCTTTTTGACTTTATGCACTCATTTGATCTTTTTTCTACCTTTTTAATAACTTTTATTCATCTACTTTTTCCAATCCCCAATGTGATTATTCCAAATTCAGAAGAACAGTATCTTTCAATTAAATGATGCAAATAATCTCATTTCCTTTCCCCCTTTGTATCACAATTATACTAATTAGAGCCAGAATGATCTTCCTAAATGTGATCATGCTACAGGCTATGAAAAAACCCTTCAATGAGGACCTCCACTACCAGAAATGATGTGGTAGTACTGGCAATCGCTCCCAGGTGCAGTAACTAGGAAAAAATGGATCAAATGCAAAAGTCATTAGAGATATCAAAGTACAGTGGAAGCACTGCAGACTAGATGTACTAAAAGTCTGAGTCTTTTCTAGCTATCTGAGAATACCAACAGTTTTCTTTCCTGGGAGGATTTGCCAATTCTAGGCATGGGCTAAAGAGCAGGCTTGGTGTAGACTAAAGCACTTTACTGGGGAAAATCAGCAGGACTTAGTTACTGACCACATGATCTATCATGGTGTGCCAGAATCTAGAGGAGCCCCAAGCCCAATGCTGAGTGAGACTAGTGCTTAGAAGCTAGAAAAACAAGGCTTCTGAACAGGCCAATACCATCTGTCAATGCCAGGCTTCTTCATATCCTTCCCCTCTCTTGTATTTGTCTGGCCTACCTCCTACTCCTTTTTTCTCCCTCGAAACTGTATTTATCCTTCACAAAATTCATCTATAAAATCTACCAAATATGTGCCACAGACGCTTTCTACAGGCTTATCTTTGGTATAATTTTTATTTAACAACTTATTATCCTTGTTGTACCCTTTCTTGGAAGCAGAGTCTGTTTGATTATCTCCAGCACATAGGAGATTTTATTTGTTGAAAAACAAAATAATTAAGCAAAGGAATCACTATAATATTAAAGATGCTTACAAACTTTTATCTTATTAAAATTATCAGTCAAATCTATAAACTTTATACCTATCAGGTCTGAACAATGCACTGGGAGGAGAAACCATTAAAAAACTAACGTCAAGTGAACTCAGTATTTCCTGGCAAATCACAAATATGAAAAGTAGATCACCCATGTATGCTAGAAGATCTCTTTGGGAGAAGTATCCTACAATTTATAACATTTTACGAGTGCTTCTTAAACCATGAAAACCTTCTGAAACTTCAGAACCTTTAGAGATTGTCTTTCTCCTGTAATGTGATGGGATATCATCCCTAACATGCTAGAACTGAGAACCCAGCTAGCTTTCATAATTGAAATGAGTGAATTTGTTTGCCTAATACACTAATACTTACTTTTAATGAATTCTCTCACCCCCACAAAGTGACTTATGTTCGCTGTCTACGCATGTGGCCTTCTAATCATACACATACACAAACATCGGAGATGCAAAAATTGTTCAGAGTCCAGATGATAATAAGGCTAAGGTTTTATTTTTATGCACAAGCATTTAGAACAAACTGCCTGCAAGGGAAAAATTTACCGCCATGGGCCTTTTACTTTGACTCAATCTTGCAGGTGCAAAATCCATCCCTAATTTTTGTAAACTACCCATTAGCTCTTTAGAGTTTCTTAGTAAGAAAATCAATGGCTCAACTCTTGTGAAAACTGAAAGCACATTATCTTCTCATGGCAATTTAGTCATTTAATACTAGGAAAGAAAGGAATAAGCACTAATAAGCAAATGGCCATTTAGATTCTGGGTTTTATATGTTGACTTAGATGTCTTCAGTGTCATGGTTAAGAGTTTAAGAACTTTGGAGTCAGTTTCTAATTTTAAAATTAAATTTCACCATTTGCTATCTGTGTGACCCGAGGCAAGCTACACACCTTTCCTTTGCCTCCATTTCTCATCTGTAAAATACAGGTGGAACTATACTGTAAATAATCATGGTGATGTTCTGAATAGAAAAGCTATCTTAACATCTTAGTGTCTGCCACATTCTAATTATGCAAATAAAAAGAGAGCGAGCTATCATTACATCCACGGCTTCAAGTTTACCTCTTGTAATTAATACTTTCTAAATTCCTAGTGAATTTCCACTCAAGTGAATTAAGTCTGGTGATTAGACACTGACTCCCTGAAGGTTTTAAATTATCTTCAGATTCTGGTTTTCACTGTCTTGCCATTGGCTTTCTGTTCCCTTAAATTTGTTCCCCACTTCTGCCCCCATTCAGCACTTTCCCACAGATGATTTTAAGTAGATTTACTGGGGGTACAGTAGAAGGTGGACTCGAAGGAACCTTTAAGGCATCAAAAAATAGTCTAGGTTGTCCTCTAATATGAACTGAGTAGTCCCGGCTCAATCTGTTACTGGAATTCAGCTTTCTTTAGTAGGAAGCCTTTTAAGGTTTTACATAAAATTATAATGATCCCATTCGTTACAATCAACCTAAAGTACCATTTAAAACTTATGGGTTTTCTTGACACAGACAACTTCTACATTTTCTGTACCTTAAGAATATATCATGCCTAGTTTTATCAATCATATTTTATCACTGATACTAACAGAATCAAGGGTCTGTGGTAGATGCACTCCTAGTAACAACATAATCAAAAGCAGGGATTGCCAGTTTTTTAATAAAAACAAGATGCACTCAAAGTTCAGAGTGCTATCAATGTTGCGTCCTCAAAGTTAGCTAAATAGTGAATTTACAGTACTGCCTATTATGATTCACATCTCCAAACCAATAGCTTGGAGTACTTCATGAAGATTTGTAAACATTCATTGGACTTAGCAGTTCCTCAAGAAAATCGTTTCCTCCAAAATCTGTCTATATTCTCTCGTTTAAGCTCTCCCTCAATTCCCAAACCTAGGAATTATTATCCTAAATTTTCATGTAGTCCCTTAATACCTTTCAATATCCTAAATCTCTCTTCTTCCTACTGCTGCTGCTGTATTTGATGCCCTCACCCTAGCTGGTCTGTCTCTACACCAACTCTAATTGTTCCCTTCTATCAAAGCTAAACTTGATGCTGTTTTATTGCATATGTTATCTAACACAGGTTAAGAATTACTATTTACAAGCTACATATCACTATCAAAATGGCAATGAAAACTTTTGTGCTTTGTGCAGTAAGGATTCTGAAACTTCTTTGGATGCTATTAATAGTTAATAGTTTTCCATGCTATATGCCCATTTTATATAAAGCCTATTCACTGAACTAACAAAAACAGAATAGAACAGTGGTTAAGAGCATGAAACAGCACAAAGTCAGGCTGCATGAGTTTGAAATCTTTATACTCACTAGTTTGAACTACTGGTAAGCTACTTAGCCAATATCATCAATCAGTTTCATCATCTGTAATATAAGAATTAAAAAACCTACCTCATTGGGTGGTAAGATTAAGTCAATGGTCATTAAAGTTCTTAGAACACTGACTAACCAACAAACAGGTACTAGCCTTTAAGTGATACATGGCTGACATTTATAAGAGCCAAGGAAAATACTAAATACTAGAGAATGGGGATACAGTTGCTGGCCAAAACATAAAGAGGATACAGATATTAATAAGTTAATCATAAAAATAAAATCCGAATAAATATGAAACTGCAAAATGAAATAACCAGAATGAAGAAAAGGATCAGGATGTTTAAAAATATTAATACACCCATCTAACCTCTTTATTGAAGGAGGGAAAAGTACCTCAAGTTCAGGAAGGTTTCCCTTTTCCAGACTCAATCACTTTTACAGCAATGTCTTAAAAAAATTTAAACATTTAAATAGCATCTCTGCCTAATCAAAAAGGAATGGAAAATTGAATTATTTTTGACACACACTCTTTAAGCAACATAAAAATGTTTAAGGCTGGAAGTTTTATTCCATTTCAATGGACATTAAAGGTGGCCCACTAAATGGAAAAACTAAGTCAAGCCACTAATAAGTTTTTAATGAAAACACAGTCTTCAGAAAAACTGTTTTTAAAGATATTCTTTACAATGAAGAATTCTGTTAAAAAGTTAAAATCAAACAATATTCAGAAGAAAACTTCTGCAAGCCTGGTATTTTAGAGAGAGTGCCATAGGTGTAAAGCCATAGGCATATACAAAACTAAAGAAGGCAAACCATCCAACACCACCAGATCAAGTTGTAAGATACCTGGGCAGTAGGGAAGCAGTCAGGGAAAACAAACAAAAACTGTTATCTACCAATCAAAATAAATGAAACAGGAAAACCTATTAACAAAACCTAAAGACAAGCTGGATTTAATAGCTTGCATTTCAGGACTGAGGCTACAGAATGATACTGGCAAAAACAAAGTAAATACCAAATATGAATGCCAGGTCCAATAAACTTGCAATAAAACAAAACAAGCCGGCGCGGTGGCTCACGCCTGTAATCCCAGCACTTTGGGAGGCTGAGGTGGGTGGATCACGAGGTCAATCGAGACCATCCTGGTCAACATGGTGAAACCCCGTCTCTACTAAAATTACAAAAAAAATTAGCTGGGCATGATGGCGCGTGCCTGTAATCCCAGCTACTCAGGAGGCTGAGGCAGGAGAAGTGCCTGAACCCAGGAGGCGGAGGTTGCGGTGAGCCGAGATCGCGCCATTGCACTCCAGCCTGGGTAACAAGAGCGAAACTCCGTCTCAAAAAACAACAACAACAACAAAATAACCTGTTAATATTCCAACAGATAGTTTAAAAGTACCTGAGTGCTAAAACAAAAACAATTTACAGAGTACATACCCAAATATTCTAAAAGGGATACCAGCCCTCATAAATGAGCTTTTAAGAGTTTACTTACTATGCCTGACATAAATTTTCAGGCTGGGGAATAACTGGTTAAAAAAAAATTTAAAAAAAGAATCGAGAGTTTGGAGAAGGGAAATAACTCAAAGTCCCTTTAAATATTCACAAAATTCTTTAAGTTTCTCTTCACTTCAATCATTGAGTAATTTTCTGAAGAAAATTCTTAAATTCCCTTGTATAAAATATAAATTAGAATAAAATAAAATTATAGTTCTTTGCCAGTATACAGTTACATCAAGAAGTTACATCTTCAGCGTATAAACGTTTGTGGATTCCTAGTCATATCATAATTGTTTATAAATTACTGGGTTAAATTATTACCAAAAAAGTAGGACAGGTCTTAAGACCTTGAAGAGTTTCACTAAAAACATGTGGTAAAAATTAAATGTTCTACTTTAGTTAGTAGTACTGTACCAAGGTTAACTTCTCAAGTTTTGTAGATGTTCTATGATATTGTAAGATTTTAACATTAAGATTTATATAAGACATAAAAAACTCTTGTATTATATCTTTACAACTTTTCTGTAAACCTAAAACTAGGTCAAAGAAAGAGGTTATAAAAAGGCTCAACTTATCAGGACCTTACTTTATACTAGTAAATGTGCTATGAAAGAAAAATAGCATTTTAGCTTTCCCACGTTTAGTTACCAAGTATACATATAATACACCTAGCCTTGACTGCTTTACTATAGTAATTATTTTTAATGCTAAAGAAGAAAGCAAATTTTTAGAGAAACGAATCAGTAAAGCATTTTTTATTAACTTTTTTGACAAACCAACAGTAAAACATATGTTACCTAACAATAACTGTGTCCCTTCCCTTTATGTATGTATGAGTCTTAAGATAAATGTCATTCAGATTTTTATCTGGACAACAAATTCAAAGGCTCCTTAAGAAATAAGAAATGAAATACCATGGTCACTAGTGTAAGTAGACTAAATATAAAAGCTATATATATAATGTGTGTGTGTATGTGTGTGTGTGTGTATATATATATACACACACATATTAAAAACATCAATGTTTTGATCAATGCAACTAATATGAGATTACAATAACTCACTACTTTAAATAGTATTTCAATCACATATAACAAATTAAGATACTGTTTAGGGGAAAGCAGCCTCAGAAAGAATTATTTAAAAAAGGCATATTAATACTTAACTTTAATCAAACTAAGTATCAACCTTTCCCCCAACCCATAAAGACTTCATGTCTCTAAATAGTTCTTGCATCATGAAAGATAACTTGAAAAATTTAAATACATCTCAAGGCATTAGATGCTTATGCACTCTATGTGAGTCCAACTTTTACTGCCCAGAGTTTCTTGTCATGGTGGCCTAATGTCATGAAAGTCTGGTTGCCAGATCTTTTAGTTTTTATTTGCAACAGAGCTATACCTTTCAGCAATTATATAAACTACATCTAAGTTATTTTCTAATGGTAGCAGAATGATATATATGCTTTATTAACTAAAACAGTACTTTTGTAAATTTTTCTAAGAATTCCATAAATACAAAAAAAAAAAAAAAAAAACCAGAAAAGACTTGAGGGGTTTGGGAAATAAACCCCTTTTATTTTCATGTTAAATCTATATAAGTTTAATTTATTTCCAAACTTTCTAAGTTCTTCCAGACTTCTGGCATTCGTAGTATTTCCTAATTTTTCTTCTTGAGCTCTGCACTGCCTCAAAACCTATCCAAACAAATCTAATTCTGTGTTACCTATATTTAATATAAAGTACAATATATAATCACATTGTATCACTAGAATTGTGAAGCTCTTCATGAATTATTTAAAAAAAAAAATTCCAAAAGAATTTAGCTATTTTATTTAACATGTAATAGACAGTCATAAAATAAGTCCATATATTTAGTTTTCTGATATCCTAACGCATTTTCACAAACTTCTTAAGTCTACAATTTTATATAGTTTTCCATCAGGGAGACAGATATATATAATTTCTTTTTATATTTAACTAAAGGTTTTAGGAGGGTTTACTCTATAAATCAGTAACAATTTAGTCATAACACCATACAAACACATTTAAATATTCAGGAAAGAGGTTTTTAAGATTATTGCTTAGTGTTATACAATGGTGAATTTTAACCAGATTGATACCCCTGTATTCTTATTTATGTTTCCTGTACTCTTACATCATACTGCTTGGCAAGTAATGTAAGTTTTGATGTAATTTAAAAATTCATGTAGTTGTAAACAAATTCTAATTTGTTAAACTATTCATATATTCCCCTTTACTTACTACACTATCCCAGATTTAATCCTCCTTAATCATTCCCACATAGAAAAAAACTGCAGAGCATCATCTCTTCCTTAAATATTTTCAAGTACTGTAAAAACACAAATCCATGAAAAAAACTGACTAAATTTGACATTTCATCTTGCTTTACTAATTATGAAATAGAAAGATGTAAAAACATGTTCCTTAATATTTCTCTGCTTAACAAAGAAATAAAAAAAAATACTGTAAGTATGGTTATGGGCTATTTTCCAGCCTCATCAAGTATAGGACACAACTGTGGTTCCTACCATTAAGGAGAAACGAATAATCAATCTTAAATTATACAAAAGAAAGATGAGAGGCACAAAAAGACAGACTAACTTTGGCTTTTAAGAACCTAATGTTAACCCTGAAATGCCAGATTCAGTAACACAACAACAAAAGATTACAGCAGCAAGCCACCACTTCACACAGTATTAAGAATTCTGAAATATGTAATAGCCTTCCTCCCATCTCCCACTCAATCGGTTGTGTCGTCTTTTTGTTTTTCCTGCTTTTTCGCTGCAGGCAGTTCAAGGCTTGCCCACTGCATCGGTTCAGCTTTTCTCATAGTGATCTCAATCTTTGTTGCAGTCATAGTTACATAACTTCGCTTTACATCAATCACCTGTAACATATTGAAGAGAATTACAAGAAACCTGGGTGGTTTTATTAACCTCAGAGGAAAACATCAGACTTGCTTATGCCAGTAATCCCAGATCCAAGCTTCTAAAGGCCTCTTTTATATATAGACTTAAACTTCTTGGGAGGATACATTGTTAAGTTATATATCTATACTTTGCATCGGTGTTTACAAAAGAACTGTCTTTTATTCTACAAATGATATCTTAAGTTATCAGAAAGAAATTCTTATAATAAATTGGTAATACTTACACCCCATAATTTCACATTTTGATCAAATTCCTTCTCTCCTTCAAATACAATGTGCACATTTAACTGAAAAAGATATACACAGGTTTATGGTACCAAATACTGATTATAAAAATAAGATGGACAAAAATAAATTAAGCTGTTTTAAGAAAGGGTCAATACTATATTGTTTCGTATGAGAAAAGCCATTGACAAAAAGGAATACTTGGCTTCAAGTTTCATACTTGGAACTAAGAACTATGTTACTTGATAAATCATCTACTACAGAATCTCCAGGATGTTTCAGTAACTCTATTATGCAGAAATTTTCACTTAAAATAGTTTCACAGAAGTAATTTAAATTATTTTCATGTGGGAGTCCTTATAAAATCTTACCCCTAAATCAGCTGAGATATGAACAATACTTTAAAATACAGTAACAAAGAATGATGTTGATAAAAGAATTTTTACCTAAAATTATTAGGTGTACTTACCAATGTGCTATTTGCTTCTACTCGACTAAGTTCTGGAAGTGAATTTTTAGCATATACTGAAATGGTAACTTCACCTCCAGTCTGATGCCAGTCATGTCTACATGGAACAACTTTCTTCCCCTGTAATATAAGAGAAACTCTGTAAGTTTAAAAAGTGCTGCATAGGGGCCGGGCACGGTGGCTCATGCCTGTAATCCCAGCACTTTGGGAGGCTGAGGTGGGCAGATCACGAGGTCAGGAGATTGAGACCATCCTGGCCAACACAGTGAAACCCCGTCTCTACTAAAAATACAAAAAAAGTAGCTGGGCATAGTGGCACATGCCTGGAGTCCCACCTACTCAGGAGGCTGAGGTAGGAGAATTGCTTGAACACAGGAGGCGGAGATTGCAGTGAGCCGAGATTGCACCACTGCCCTACAGCCTGGGTGACAGTGCAAAACTGTCTAAAAAAAAAAAGTGCCACATAATTAATTTCTTAAAAACAGGAATTCAATCCATCTAACTTAGAAAAAATTACCATGCACAACTAAGCACTTAATGTTTAAGGGCAAAAAACTTCTAAATTTTCCAAGTGGCTTAAACAACAAAATATATCATGATATAAAGATTCTTCAAAACATTTATGATTTGAGAACACACTTATTCCTATCCTTTGTTTTTTTCTTTTAGGGCCATAGTTTTAAAACACCTTTAAAAAGACAATTTAAGAACTTCTACTAAATTTAATCCAATTTTAACATTCTGTAATTTACTAAGTACTGTCATCAAAACATTCTTTAAAGACTGAAATGAAAGGCATTTGCTTAGTGGGATAAATCAGACAATACCTTAAACCTCATGGACTAGAAAAGTTATTTATTTTCTACAAATCAGAATCTAGGAACAAAGCAAAAAACCTGATCAGTTATTACTTTCTTCCCATTTTCATAAAGAACAAATAACTTCTGGATTTTCTGATTATGGAAATAATCCTACATACCAGTAGTATACTGCCCTATCAGTAATTTTCTTTTTTTAACAGAGGCAAATGGTGATTTGTTATATAAATGGGAACAATTTAGTTACATAATTCAGGAATTCTGAGACACTACGTTGTAAAAGGTACAATTTTCATTTTGATACAATTACATTAAATTTAAATTATAGATATCACTCACATTTCTGCCCTTGGCTATTTAGACACTTAATACCTGAAAACTGCATACGTTAAAAAACGAGAAAAAATACTTCATTTTATCTAGGATTATACTCTCAACATAATAGAAAACAACATTTTATTTTTTCAAACTAAAATTTTCAAATTTCTGGACTATATGATATATAGATCACTTTATTTTAAAAACATTTCTGATAGCTTTGTGGTAGATGAATTTTTATAACTTCAGGCGTATTTTTATAATATCCAACTATGTGTTGTTAAGAAGCAGCAACTATACAATATTCAAATATTGAAATCTCTAAATTAATTTGAAAATTTAATACATTATAAACTACACTAACTATAACTAACAGACAAAAACTTATTAAGCAATAAGTTGCCCATCCTCTTACAATTTAATGGGATTTTGGGAAAGTGTTTGCATAGCCCCAAGTCTTTTCAAAAAGCTGTCTAGGGAAAGAACTGATGCTTTTTTTCTTTCTTTTGATAAATATCCCATTAGCAAGCAGAGGCATTCAAAAGAATTCCACTGAAACAAGACTGCTTATTCTCCTCTCCCGCCACTAGGTGAAGTGTCTGTGCATCTGTAAATGACTGAATGAAGTTTCAAGTGGCCAAAAGAATAATCAGAGGTCTAAATGTTTAACATTATCAAATTCATAGAAAAGTAATTTTTAAAGAACAAAAATTAAGAACAGGCCATGGAGCTAATTTTATTAAATAAAAAGACAAAAAAAGTGCTTTAATTTTGTCAGGTGTAAGTGTTTCATAAAACCCCACATGCTTGTATCAAAATAGACAATGGCTATTTTGCTCAAAAAGCAGTGGCTTGACTCAGATTCATTTTATTTTGTAGTCATATCAAAGCTTTATGGTGCAAAAAAAGAAAACTTTTTTTAAATCTAAAGACAGAATAATTTCAGATCTTTAAAAAATGACTCAGATGAATATAAACCCAGTGTGTTACTTTTGGAAGAGTTACTTACAGCATCCTTTTTAGTCCACATGTGTTTCCCTGTTGTACAGCCCTCTTGGGCTAAGAATGTATTAAAATCAGAAGTTTTTCTTCTACAACAGCTCCAGTATTTCATCCTTTAAATTATTACAGAAAAATTTCAGAAATAAAATCTCACAACCAATTAAATCTAGAAGTATTTTAGGGATAAATCTGACTTTTAAAGAAGTCAGTAAGTGTGCAACTCAAGTATCTAAGTTACTAAACAGCTAAATATAGATGTAAAGTATCTATCAGGAAGACTATATTTTAAAACCAGGATGCTGTTTATTACAGTAATCTTGAAGCTCCTGAGTAGACACTTAACAAACTATAGAAATGATCCCTGCAAGTATAGTCTTCCTGAATGAAGTCACTTAAAACCATCACATATTCCAAATCAGCCTTTCAGTGATGACTCACACTCCAGTTCCTTCATGAAGCTACCAAAAACTTTTATGACCAAAGAATTATAACCTATTTCAATAAGTCAATATAAACAAATTAAAATTTAATAATTATACAACATATCCCAAAGTAGGTTATACCCACTATTATTTACTTGAGATAAACTGAAAAGAGGAAGACAAAAATCAAGGCAAAACTTGAGGTTTCAAATCCTGAAGAATGTGGAAACAGAGTGGAAGATTCTTACAGTGCTGCATTTCTATAAACTAGAACGTAATACAGAAGAGAGGTTCCTCTCAATTGAGGAAGGTGGAAAAGTATGGGTCTTCTTGGGAAAATGGTATCTTAGTGCCCCAGGACCCAAAATTCTAAATGCCCTACAATGTGTAGGACAGTCCTTCAAACAAAAAATTTAGCCCAAATAGAGATATAAGGTATAAAGAAAAACACTTTTAATTATAGAGTATAAAGAAAAACAGGGGGTTTATATCTCAATGACCACTTAAGAACTGTTAACCTGGCTTCTGTTTTCTCATGTAGAAACATACAAACCCCTGTGATTTCTAGGTTATTGGGAAGATGTTAATGACAATGTAAGTAAAATGCCTAATAACACACTGCATTGCAAACAGTGTTTAAAGACAGACCTGTTTAACTTTGTAAATTCTACCACAGAGTATGTTAGTAAGTCATGCATAAGTTACCCCTCATGGAAAATAGGTACTCCAGAATGATATACACAGACTTCTTCTAGACTCTCTAGACCCCGATATGTCTAAAAGAGAAACAGAGAAAAAAAATTAGCTGCATATCTCACAGTTACATCTCATACATATTTGCAGTACTGATGAACTCTATGAACTTTACAAAATACTTAAATGACAATTACCTACAAAATTCATAAATCCATCCCATGCCATTCTGTTAAAAAAATGAAAAATGATTCCCTTTTGGACTTGGTTAAGTTTTAGGTCCCTGCGAGAAAGTCATATTAAGATACTTTCAGCCTTTGGAGTATGAGATCCCATCCAATCATATTCAAGTACTTAAATTTAGAAAACAATGTTGATGCCAAGAAATTAATACTCTCAACAGAAATACAGTTACGTCATGACTTATGTGTACAGTAAACTCCATGTAGGTATTAGCAAATAATATGAGAAATCTAATAAGCAATTCTGGAAGTCCTGAGTGATGGTGATTTCTTATCCCTATAAAGGGTAAAATGAGCTGCAGACCTATATATATATCCAGGGTTTGTCTGGAAGATCCGGGCCCCATTGCTGCTGTAGATGGAGGCTCTACAGATGAATTCACAAAAAATTATGTTAATAAAACATGGATGTAGCCAGTAGTATATTTTCTATTTTTGTATTTATAGCGACTACCTACAAACAGAAAATAAAATTCTGTTTATCTTTTATAAATCCAAAGTACAGTACTAGATGTGTATATCTCAAGATATTTCACAAAAACATAAAACTCAGTATGTTAGCATCTAAACTTAATGCTACTGTCCCCAAAGTCTATTATTTTCCCCATATTATTTGATGGCACCATACTCAGTTTCTCAAAGCAAAATCCTGTAGTTCTTCAGCATCTCCTTTCCCTCTACCCATAGGTAATCTATAATGAAATCTCATCAATTTGATATGAATATATCAATTTAATTTGTTAATCTTCCTCATAAACTAGCAGATTTTAAGCAATCAGACTATACTAACAGGTTTCTACTAATTCATTTCTTAGCGTTCAATTTCTGTTCTCAATTATCAAATTACTATCACTCTCTTGTTTAAAGTTCTTTAATTACATCCGCGTCATACCTAATTATAAAATAAGCAGTTCCAGGTCATTCACATATTTAAATATGCCTATACATGAGAAAACACTCACAGTCCTGAAGTAAGCAACAATTTCTTAAACAGGACATAGAAAGCACTGGTCATAAAGAAAATGTTGGACAAATTGGATTTTATTAAAATTAAAAAGCCTGTGTTTATTAAAGTGATTAAGAGAGTGAAAAAGCACATAACTTCTGACAAAAGACTCAAAGCTAAAACATTTAAAGAATTCCTACAAATTGGTAAGAAAGAGACATTAGAGAGATAGGTAAAAGATTCTGCACACTTCACAAAAAGATATAAAAATGGCTAATAAACATACATGAAAGCACTCATCATTAGGGAAGTACAAATCAAAACCATGATGAAAATACTACACACACACTAGAATGGTTAAAATTTAAAAAACAAAACAGAACTGGCATAACAAAATTTTAACAAACTGTAGGACAAGTTGAACCAGCCTCACATACTGCTGGTAGAAATGAAAAGATTTACAATCACTTTGGAAAACTATGTGGAAGTATCTGTTAATGCTAAAGATACACACAGGGGCATACTTAATCCAAAATTCCAAATGCTCCAAAATCTGTAACTGTTTGACAGCCAACATCATGGTTAAAGGCAATCTCATTGGAGCATTTCAGATTAGGGATGCCTTACTAACTGGTAAGTACAATGCACATATGCCAAAATTTAAAAAAAATCTCCAAAATACTAGAAATGGAACAAGTCATCGACAAGAATGTTCATAACAGACTGGGTGCAGTGGCTCACACCAGTAATCCTAGCACTTTGGGAGGCCAAGGTGGGTGGATCACCTGAGGTCAGGAGTTTGAGACCAGCCTGGCCAACATGGTGAAACCCTGTCTCTAGTAAAAAATACAAAAATTAGCCAGGCCTGGTGGCGGGGGCCTGTAAACCCAGCTATTCAGGAGGCTGAGGCAGGAGAATCACTTGAACCTGGGAGGCAGAGGTTGCAGTGGGCTGAGATCATGCCATTATGATCTTGTCACTCCAGCCTGGGTGACAAGAGCGAAATTCCATTTCAAAAAGAATGTTCATAATAGCATTATTCAAAAACGATTTTTTTAAATTACAGGACAATATAAAGCAAAAATTATTTGTGGCACATATAAATAATGACATACCTAAAAGGAATTAAAAAAACAAAACTACAGCTACATGCAACAAAGATTAATAAAACAAGCATTATTATTCAAAAGAAGATGAACACGAGTACATATTCTATGATTATTTTTACATTAAATTCAGAAAGAGAAAAAAACTAACCTATGTTGACAGGAAAACATTTGAGAGAGAGTAACAAAATGCTTAAGGAGTGGTCTGCACTGATAATGAGTTTCACTTTGTGAAAATCCCTTGAGCTACAAACTTGTATTTGTATATCCTTTAACAAACTTCAATGTTATATTTCAGTAAAAAATATTCAAAATTTCTCCAATTATGATGGCCTCCACAATCTAACATACAATCTAAGTTCCCTGTACTACTAAACCCTTTTAGGATCTGGCCAGGCCTACCTATCTCTGTTAATCTCAACTCCACAGCAGCAAATTTTTATCATCACATAATTTTCTCTATACTTCTGCTATTATTTATGCTTGAAATACCCCTTTTCTATTTTCCCTGTCATTCACTTTTCAAAACCCATCTGATACCTTCTCCTTGATCTTCCTTTATTATCCTATCACTTGTACTGCATTCCCCACTCCAGTAATTACTCATTCCCTTTTATCTACTACTTCTACCTCATATACATGTAAATAAAATTATATCTCCATTCCTTAAATCATTTAAAACTTGACATGAGGAAGAAGTGAAAACCTTCCCCCACCCCATTTTCACCTTGTTGGTTGATGATGTCACCAATTACCCACATGCTTGAGTTCCCTTCTATCCAGTCCATTAGTAAATCCTAATACAGACAGAAGCTCCTTTGCTTGCAATGTGGTTATATCCTGATGATACCATTGTTAACCATGGTAAGTTGGGAACCATCTGTACTGTACTTCCAAAATGTATCATTCATTCTACAAGCACTATTCTAAGCATTCAAGATACAACAAAGAACAACAACAAAAATCCCTATCCTCACAACTTTTACATCTGCAGGGGGAATCAGATTGTACAGATCATAAGCAAAATAAATATGCCAAATAAGTAACATAAAGTGATTAAGAGCAATGGAGAAAAAAGGAGGAGAAGAAACATTGGAGGATATGCAAATTTTACATCATGTAGGAAGAGGCAGGGAAAGGCCTTATTGATATGTTTGACTGCATCCCGTATTAATCACTTCTCAACACAACTATTCTCCAATCTCACTGCCTGGTCTTCCATAACAGCATCCTAGCTGGTTTCTCTTCTTCCAATTCCACTCCTGTTCTGTCACCACATATTTACCATTCACCAGCCACAGAATCTTTTTAAAACCCTTCTCTAAAGGGTTAGAAATAAATAAAGAAGTAATAGCTTCTCAAAATACTTAGAATAAAGCCAAAATACCTCATCATGGCTTCTAAGAACCTCCATAATCTTGTCTACCTCTCCTACCTGCTATCCTTGCCCAAGCTCCACCAACCTTGCTATTTCTTGAATAGCCAAGTTCTAAAGCCTCTGCTCAAGCTTCTCCATTCCAAAACACTCTTCCCCCAGGTTTACATAGTCCATACAGTAGAACATGAAGATTTCTGATTTAGTGTCACTATGTCAAAAAGGACTGCCGATAATCTTACTAAACAGCTCCCAAGCACTCCTCAGTATGTTCTATTTTCTTCCAATCATCTTGATTTGTAGTATCTAATTACTTATTTGTTGCTCTTCTCACCATTCTATAATATCAGCTCTGTAAGGACAGAAATTTTTGCTTTATTTGATACTATGTCTCCAGCCCATAAAATGTCTGGCACATAATAAGTACTTAGTAAATGTTAATAAGTAACTTGGAATTACTTATTTCCATTATTCTATTGGACATGATGCTACTCAGACAGAGTCTCTTATCCATACTGTAGCCCTAGTCCTCAGCATAATGTCCAATATATAATGAGCATGCAAGTATTTGTTGAATCAGTGAACTGCACTTTCCTCAAAATTAAAATTTTACTTCATAGCACATCACAAATTTTTTAATATATACCTTTGAACACCCTCCATTCTTACATGAAGTCCCAATCTTAATTTCATCATTGTCTTCTTCTGAAACAAAGGAAAAAAATCAAATTAAAAAGTTAAAATAGAACTTTGCTGCAGCACCATTCTTAAAAAGTAGGTTTTTCCAGAAAACAATATTTAAAAAAAAAAACAACTGTGACCAGGTTTTGCCTGTATCTTCAAAATGATATATGACACATTTCTTTTTTTTTTTTTTTTGAGGACCTGATGTCTTTGACAATGCAGTTTTTTTCCATAACAAAATGTTATAGCCAATATCGTAACTTTGTAAAAGAAATCATGAAAGGATGTTTCCCTCCCATGATACCAGGTGTAAGGTTAGAGAATACTGAATGTGCAAGAAAATATTTTAAATTATCAAAGAAACTTAGCTCATTCTTAAAAAAGTAATGAACCATAAAAGAAAAAAATATACCATAGGTTCTCATTTTGAATAAAGACATATGGAACTCACCTATTAGTTCTGGAGTATTTGTGGTATATTGTATCTGACATTTAGAAGAAAGTAAGTTTTTTAACTACGATGTGCTACTTCTCCCTATTTATATTCAGTAAACTGATGCTCTCACTTTTAAATAACTGCTTAACTGTACCAGAAAATAAATTACAATAAAACAAAATAAAAATCTTACCTTTCTTATCTTCTTCATTCCCTGAAGACAGTTTAAGTTTATCAAGTGCTTGTTTTAGGGAGGCAGATATTTTTAATTCCAAATTTGTCATTGGTTCATCTGGGCTGAAGAATTTTGAAACCTTATTACCATTATTAATATACCAAAATATTTATTTGTACTCCAAATTAATAAATTTAAAAGCTTTTTGAGAAACCAAATGCTTTGTGAATCAAATGATTCCCATTAAAAAGTATAAAGTATTTTACAAATAATTGTTACAATGTATCTACATTCAGTTTGAACAGAAAAGCTCTTTATATTAGAATAGTAAGTCTCAAATAATCACACTGTTGCCAGCATATTTATTAATCAGTTGCACTAAAGAGAAGGGAATAAAGACTAAGAATCCAAGTTTTTCAAGATGAGTAATACTGAGGAAAGGAACATAAAGTAGTTTTACAGCCCATGCCCAAGCTAAATGCTGAGCACATAATAAACAGGAAATATAAGTAAGTTAGTTCTAAGTGAATCCGTACTCACTTCTACCAGTGGGGATTAATTCATGTGGACAATGGCATATGCATCTATAAATCAGCTATAATCATATTGCAAGGCAATTTCAGTAAGGTTAAAAAAATATCTTCTAACATGTCATAATGGCTAAGTATTGTATACACAATTTAAGTCCATTCAATAAGTAAGTATTAAGCATACGAATAAACAAAGCAAAAGTGTAGGCTATTCATCCTATATCCACAATGAAAAACCTAACGAGGCATTTTAAAAGTACACAGGCATGGCATGGTCCCTTATGCCCACAATCCCAATATTTTGGGAGGTTGAGGCAGGAGGACTGCTTGAAGCCTGGACAACATAGTGGAACCCTATCTCCACAAAACATAAAAAGTATTAGTCACTGATGCGGTTTCCCTGTGTTCCACCCCAATCCGCATCCTAAATTCTTGCTCCCATAATCCCCACATGTTGTTGGGGGGGACCTGGTGGGAGGTAACTGAATCATGGGGGTAGCTTTTTCCCATGCTGTTCTCATGATGGTCCATAAGTCTCAGAAAATCTGATGTTTTCTTCTTGCCTGCCACCCTGTAAGATACTCGTTTGTTCCTCCTTTGTCTTCTGCCATGATTCTGAGGCCTCCCCAGCCATGTGGAACTAGGAATCCATTAAACCTCTTTGTCTTTATCAATTACTCAGTCTCAGGTGTTTTTTCAAAGCAGTGTGAAAATGGACTAACACAGTCATAGTAGCATACACCTACAGTCTGGGAGGCTTAGGCGGAAGGATGGTTTGAGCCCAAGAGTTCAAGACTGCAGTGAGCTATAGCCACTTTATTAAAGCCTGGGTAAGAAAGAGACTTTGTCTCTTAAAAAAGAAAAAGTATGTAAACACCTATATGCTCATAATTTTTATAATACCACCAAATGAATTTAGAATAAAATATTTAATTTTTCTAGTAAGAGTGACTCTCAAGGTCCTCCTGCCTCAGCCTGAGTAGCTGCAACTACATGAGCACACCACCAAACCCAGCTAATTTTTCTTTCTTATTTTTTTTTGGAGACAGAATCTCATTCAAGTTGTTCTTAAACTCCTGGGCTCAAAGGATCCTCCCTCCTCAGCTTCCTAAAGTGCTAGATTATGGGCTTAAGCCATAGTGCCTGGCCTCTCACTGCCCTTTAAGTAAAATAATAGCCCATTAAAGAAAAAATTAACTCATAGTATTATAGTACAGACTGCATTATATTACTAAATATATTAAGAATGAGTCATGACAGTTTTGTCTTTTCCCAATTATTTTTCTGCTAAATTGATCAACATGGCATTCGATAGTCTCTTCTGAGTATGAATAAGATGGAGAGAGAATAAACTCATCCTGAGTAGTTTACTTAGCAATAATCTATAGACTGCTAATGAACAAATTAATGTCTAAAGTCTCTTAGGGTTCTTATCTTGGTTCTATATTATTCAATACTCTACACATTTAAGTAGGATCAATAGACAATTAGGGGAAAAGCATGAGTTCATACCACGAATAAAAATTTCAATAGGTGCCTATTTGCAGCCCAAAAAAATCACCTGTTTTTTTAAGTTCTGTGGTTTGATTCTAAAGCAACTGTAGCAGAAGTGCAGCATGAAGACCTGGTTCAACACAGGTACTCAATATACATGTGTGGGAATACACAGTCTCGTTATCAGAAGGCAAGTATGAAGAATCTGTACAATTCTATTGTACAATGAGCAGAAGTGGTTTTAAGACTACTTTCACAAATATGCCATCCAAATCAAATGCATTAAAAATTCACTAGTGGTAATGAGGTGAATGGTAATTTTCAGGCATCTGCAAGTAAAGAGGCGTGAATTTTTAGGCCTCTGCATTCTTTTCCACTTCAAACTCATTCCATGACAAGGAAAATTGCTTCAGAGAATTTCACCATGCCACAGTGAAAAAGATGTACTCCAAGGCACAAGAAAAGTGTGTGACTCCCCCACCCTGATGATACATGTCTCTGTAATTATGAGAGTACAATATGTGAATCTGCTATGAATTTGTATTGTGCACATGCTCTCAAGTTGAAGAGAAATACAAATTTAAGGCAGATTTAAGGGAGAAACCAAATAATTCAATGCTTGATGGCCTACAAAGTAGCTACAAATGGTATCATGCTAAATCACAAATTACCATGAACAAGTATTATTCAAGTGTGACAAAAATAGGTAACTCTATAAAGTATACCTTGGCCTTTTTATAGCTTCTACTGGCTTAGGGGCTTGAATGATGTGTTCCCGAAATTTCGGTTTCAAATCAGATAGTTCCTTCTTCTCAGTAGTCTTGACTTCAGGTTTGACTGGCTCAGGTGGCTTCTCACTATTATGTCTACCTTTTGTACAGCCCTATTAGTGAAAGATATTAAGAGCTATCTATTTTACACATGATAACAGAAACACTATCTTTTCAGTTCTTTATTGATAAATTCTATTTCACGTTTTCTCCAGTTTCATTATACTGATTTTAAGAAATTAAAAACAGAATACCAAATGTGCTATATGAATGAAGGCTTTTTAAAAAGCCTTTGAATTACACTTCATAAACATCTACTTATTCTATTAAACATAAAGCATAAACTTCTTGTTTACGTTAGAATAATTCTGGAGAACCTCACAAAGAACTGTAAAAACTAGTTATACAGAAATATCTGTTACTCAAAAAGCCCTCAATGTGAGACTCAGTTCTCAACCTAAGTTATTAGTTATATGACCTTAAGCAAAAAAATCTTTTTAAACCTCCATTTCCTCATTTGTAAAATGGAGGCAATGTCACATAAGATATTTTCTGAGAGGGTTAAATAATAAAATGCCTGGCACATTTGGCAGGTGATAACCTTCAACAAATGTTAGCTACTTTTCTACTACGTTCTGTTGAATTATCATATACACTTTTAAGACCTCTGAAATGATACAGTCAATAGCTTATCAGTTTGTTAGCAGCTTTAGTTTTCTTTCTTAGTGGTATACAAAATGATATATTTCAATAGCATCTTATATTACATAAAACTTTATCATTCCTAACTGAAAAGGCTTTAACTTGTTGCATATCACCTTTTCCTTCTTGATGTTCTTTCAGTATAACAGAAAGAACAAATCTCAAATCACAAGTGAGTAACTAATACCTTAAAATGTTAACTTCCAAAACAGATTCTTTTTTTTTTGAGACGGAGTTTTACTCTTGTTACCCAGGCTGGAGTGCAATGGCGCGATCTCGGCTCACCGCAACCTCTGCCTCCTGGGTTCAGGCAATTCTCCTGCCTCAGCCTCCTGAGTAGCTGGGATTACAGGCACGCGCCACCATGCCCAGCTAATTTTTTGTATTTTTAGTAGAGATGGGGTTTCACCATGTTGACCAGGATGGTCTCGATCTCTTGAACTCGTGATCCACCCAACTCAGCCTCCCAAAGTGCTGGGATTACAGGCATGAGCCACCGCGCCCGGCCCCAAAACAGATTCTTTATTTCAGAAGCTGTGGAAGGGAGATGAGCTGCTTTTTAAAAGGTGTTATCTGCAAGCTGATGAAGACCAATCAATCAATATCAGAAATCAGACTCCTCAAATCTGAAGCTTTCTATAATGTGTACTTTTAGGGAGATAATCTAGAAAAAAAAATTAGTACTTACAACAATACTTAAGAAATCAGAAAAATCAGTTGTTCTTCTCTTACAGCACGACCAACCCTATGGAAAATATGAGAAAGACACTAAAAACTCTATTTGCATGGGAACCATGACCCACGAAAACATTCTACTTGCACTTATCTACTTGTGTCCTGCAGTAACTTGCATGTAAACAGAGTGCAAAATTTTACTGTTCTATATAATTCACTTAATCAAGTGAAATGAACTTTAGTCTTTGATTTTTAAAAAACCAATTAACCAATGTTTAAGTGATTTGTGCTGTGGCCTATCATCAAAGGAAGCACGTTTATAAAACAAAAACTGCTTCTGTTTTCAACAATCACGTCTGGCTTTTTAGAAGAAAAACATTGCGAAGTTCCTAAAATTATAACATATTTAAGGAATATTCAAAATAAGTATAGGTATTTGACTTTTGAATCTGTTACATTAAAGATAATAACTATAATTTAGTTTTTAGACATAATCCATTTTAGTTTCACAATAGGCATTCTATTTTCAGAACAACACAGATTAACACAGCAACCAAAGCACTATTAAGTCTCTGACGGTGAAGTGATCTTTTCAGTGAGAAGCATAAAGGCACAGAAATTGTATTACTATTTGTAATTTCTGAACAAACTATCAAGTGACTTACCAAAAAATGGCTTAAATAATTATCATCTCTTAATTCCAATGTATTATAGAGAAAAGAGAAACAAAAACGCAAAATCTCAAAACTTGGAACTTCAGATTAAGATTTGGGCCTTAATTCAGATTAGGAAGCAACTTTGCACATATCTACCTGGATCTCTCTGATTTTCCAATAGACTGCATAAAAAATTGGCAGTTTTTTTTCCCACAATATGAACTTGTAGGTTCCTTTTCTTTAAAGAAAATTTTAAATATCCTGTAATTCAAGTTTTCCTTTATTTTTAAATTTAGTTCTCTTTTACTGTGAATTGAGATGTAGATCAATTACTACCTAAATACAGGGTTTAAATAGCATCAATAATATAGTCAACAGAAAAGTTATTCTACAGAGAAAAAGTTTTACTGTCTTAATCATGTACTGAATTATGTCAGATACTATGATACATGTAAAATGTGAAAATAGGTAGGCCAGCTGTTCCCAAATGCCAATCTGGATTCTATGCTAGTCCTCAGTACAATGAGAAAAGGAAAAATAAATTTAAGTTATGTGATATAAGGTTGCTAGCTGTCTTTTTCAGCAAAATTGCCCTTTTCTACGAATATGCCCCTCCTAATATTAAAATAGTCTTTCTTTTGTCAATGCAATGTTTAACTTCTTACTTGGCCAAATAGAAAACTAGTATCCCTATATTGATGTATATATACATTTTATCTGAAATCTTCTGGGCTGTGAAATCCAATAATCTTGGAAAGTCTAGGACTTTAAGATATGGTTATAAAATAGAGACAATAATAAACACTGCAACTGCAGAAGAGAAGCAAAAATACTTCAAAGTGAAATCATTAAGACTTGAAATGATTAACAGTGCAGGTGAGAGAAAAAAAGAGCAATGGCATCACAGCACCACAGTTTCCACCCCCAGAAAGATTTGTAAAACTAAAAATAGGAAAGGAGGAGTTAAGGTCTCAACTTGCCCTACTGAATGCCTGCTCTGTTTTCCTCACTCAGAACTAACCAGACTAATAATACATCTTTGGTTAGGTGTGGTGGTATAACAGTAAATCCAAAAGAGTCTAACTACTCTCTGGAAGGTATAATTAGACACTTGAAGGGCACCAAAAATATTTAAACACGTTAATACTACTTATGTTCCTGAGAACCAAAGTAATAGTACCTAAAAGCATGGCAGCTCCACTACAGCATTTTCTTTTGAGATATACAAAGGACAAGTCTTTATCATATTATCATGAATTTTAAAAAAATGACCAGCAAAAATCTAGTCAAGCAACAGGCAACCGATTCTCCAGAACATCAAAGAAGTATAGCTGGAAAATAGGTAACACTTATTTTAAGGAAAAAAACACTCTAAACTTACGTGTTTGTCCTGAGACTAGCATTAAGTATTTCTAACATAACAATATTTTCTAAACTTTAGAGCTGTTATTAGTCAGCAGTGACAGACTGAGATTCAATACAACCACTCTACTTTTCCAAAATATTACAAAAGTGAAGAAAGGGGTGTTGAAAATGAGAATTAAGGCCAGGCATGGTGGCTCACAACTGTAATCCCAGTACTTTGGGAGGCTGAGGCAGGTGGATCATCTGAGGTCAGGAGTTCAAGACCAGCCTGGCCAAAATAGTGAAACCCCATCTCTACTGAAAATACAAAAATTAGCTGGACGTGATGGTGGACTCCTGTAATATCAGCTCCTTGGGAGGCTGAGGCAGAATCGCTTGAACCAGGGAGGCGGAGGTTGCAGGGAGCCAAGACTGCACCACTGCACTCCAACCCAGGCGACATAGTGAGACTCCATCTCAAAAAAAAATAAAATAAAAATATAAATACAATTTTATTTCTGGAAAAGACCTTAAGGTCACCATCTACTGTCTTCTTTGCCTTTAGTGGAGCATATGCTTAAAGCACCTCCCAAAAGGTCATTAAGAACAAAGTCACTAGCTGAGAAAAAAGATTTAGTATTACATCTCTCAATTTACCACACAGATATGAAGGAAATGAAAATACAGTTCCTACCTTTAAGGCATCATGAAAGACTGGAACACCTGGGTGGTATGTGCAAGCCTCTGGAGAAAAGAGAAGGAAAAAAGTACCACTCATTATAATGAAGAAAATGTATACATGATTATCTCCTTAAGGTGTTCACCTTTAATCCTTTTCCAAACACAGGTATTTTAAAAAGGTACAAATGACTGAGTTTGATGTGCAGCACGAAGTGCAATGTATTAAAAATCCTAATTCAAGAGTATGATGGCTATGGGTAAAAACAATACAGAATTGTTTAACAGTTATATTTTATATTCCTCTAATCTTGGTAGTAAAATTTGTTTAGTAACAAACCTTCAAACCCTCAAATTTTGGCCTTCATTTTTCAGATCTGCTTTTACAGATGTACTCTCAAACTCCAAGTATTCTTGCATGCATTAATCCATAAAGGTTTCACAAGAGATTCTCTAAAAGATATTTTGGAAGAACAGGCTCAACCTTTTAAATATTGTAAAATTTTTTCAGAGTATCTAATTGCTAATTTAACTTTCCTAGACAGCAGTCAATTCCTAGGTACAAACCTCACTAAAAAGCCCTCTAGGCTGGCACCCAGTGGCTCATGCCTGTAATCCCAGCACTTTGGGAGGCTGGGGTGGGTGGATCACCTGAGGTCAGGAGATAGAAATCAGCCTGGCCTACAAGGTGAAACCCCATCTCTACTAAACGTACAAAAACTAGTGAGGTGTGGTAGTGAATGCCTGTAGTCCCAGTTATTTGGGAGGCTGAGGCAGAAGAATCGCTTGAACCTGGGAGGCCGAGGTTGCAGTGAGCTGAGATCACGTCACTGCACTCCAGCCTGGGCAACAGAGCAATCTGTTGTCCCCACACTCCAAAAAAAAGGTCTAAAGTTCTATAGTTTATTTTCAGGATTCTCACTGGGTGTTATTCTATACTTCCCTCCCCATTACACCATCAATCTTTACTTAATTCTTTTATATAAATGGTTTATTACAACTTGCAAGATGGAGTATTATATTTTTAAAAATCAGGTAACAGCTTCACGCCTCTGCAATCTGCTTGTAAAATATCTTTAAACCTTTCAAGTCTATTGAGCTTTCAATGCTCTACAACAACCCTGGCCAACATGCCACCCAGAATGACTCTGCATGTAGCCCAACACAAATTTGTAAACTTTCTTAAAACATTAGAAAAATGTATTTTTTAACCTCATTAGCTATCACTAGTGTTAGTATACCTCGTGTGTGGCCCAATTCTTCCAATGTGGCCCAGGGAAGGCAAGATTGGACACCTCTGCTCTACTACCTGATTCCTGCTGTTGCCTCAAAATAATTAATTCCTGGTGGTCACAGTATCTCCCTACCCTGTATTACTAGCCAGTATTGCTTCCTTAGTAACCATGTGCTGCCTAGATACTAGCCAATGTAGAAACAAAGTGTTAGGTAACTTCCTGATACAGTAAGTAAACCCATGGATCAGAAAGATGTTATTAATACAGGGTAGTTGTGGAATTAAGGGCTGAAAAAGGAGATCGAAGTAGAAATGGGTATGCAGAAGGCCATGAAGTTGAGAGGGGAATGGAAATAGAGGATACAGTATTTTTAAATACCAAATTTAAGGTAGTCAGAGACATAAAATGTACAATGTTTAACACAATCAGAGGCATAAAATGTCACAATACTAGTCAATTTTGGCAGAATGGGAGCAGGAATGAGTCAGATCCAAACCATACAATTAGTATGAACACAATTAGAAAACCAGTGCTTTCAAAAACAAGAAGTAATAAGCAGCTGGACATTCTTTATCCTTTATCAGTTTTAAGAGTTTTGGTAAAATTAATATTTTATGGGTAAGAAGCTGCAACACAGTAGTAGTTATTAACTATCCAGGGCTTCTAACATTGGGTCTGACCCTGGCTAAATTTCTCACTGCTGCTTGCCACTAGTTCCTTCAGTTTTCCTCGTATACGTGGATTAAATAAAACACTGTTTGTGAAGCTCTGTTTATTCTAGAATAAGTGTTTACATATGCAAGTTGCCAACTATGTCTCCCTCAAACACCCTTTAACTTGTGTTACAAATTAAAACGTTCTATCAGCTTAAAAGGGAGTCTAATTTCTGTCTATAAGGGGAAAAAATCATGAGACTCTAAGTCAACAAGCATGGTAATTATGCCGCAGCACCAAGAAAAAAAGCATTTAGTGTAGATTTCAAAAGATATTTAAGGATGGCAGATCCATCATATGGCTTCATGCAAAATGGAACTTGCTTGTGTATTTACTTCTTTAACTTATTTCTGTCAACTGTACAACGTCAAACCTCTTCCTATAAAACCGACCAACCTTACTATTTAGTTCTTGTCTCCTACTCCGTATCTCCATTTTCTTCTCCTTCCATCCACTTAACCAACTTACTTGAAAAACGCATTCTAAGCCTCTTAAAAAAAAAAAACAAAAAAACCTCATTTCGCTTAAGTAAATATACTTTCAGCGATCTTATTGAAGTTTCAGCGATCTTACTCGAATTTCTCTGCTGTATCGGGTACTGCTGACCACCCAATTATTGAGACTGTTTATTCTTTGTTTTTACTGGTCATTTTCTCCTATGCACTGCACCAAATCACACATGGATACAGACTTCCAACAAATGGCTATCTCCCCTGAACTTTATTGTCCCATACAGCAAAACATCAGCCTTTCCCCTATATTCGATATTAAAGTAGAGTATCTGCAGACATAAATGCAATTATTTTTTATGTAGGCTACCAAAATCAAAGTGCTTTCAAATCATTTCTCAAGTTTGTCATCCACTGAAATCTCACAATTTTCCTCTTGAGTAGCATCATATCTGCATCATAAAAATGTCAGTGTCCGTAACATGAGTATTGCATAGGTTGGATTTACCTTTTCTTTAAAACCCTGTTTTAATAATGCAATCAATAAACCTGTGTGCCAAACCTAAGTATTTCAAACATCTCAGAGGTGAAGAGTTTAAAAGGCATGAGTTTTCATCTCCCCCACAGTGATGAAGGATGTTATTAATACTACCTCACTGAACGGAGCTTCTCAATCAATGGATCTAATTAATACCGCACGCTTCCCACGGTTGTTATGAAGATTAAGATGATAAAGCGATAATGTCTAGCATGCAGAAGACATAAACTAAATGCTAGTTCGATCTGAAAACGTGCTGTCACTTCTCACAATACGCAAGGAATCGTCTCACTTCTTCATCAATCAAAATCTCAATTCACTGATCATTTCCCGTCCTTCACCTAGTAGTCACTTTCGCTTTGGATCCTTAACTCGACATCTTGATGCTGTAGCGGACATTCGATCATTTTATACTGGAGTCAGCAATGGTATTAAAACGTGGAGACCACAACAACAATACCCAACAAAGGATGCCAGTAAGAAAAAGATAACTAACGTACCACCAGGATGCACCTACCAAAACAGTGTAAAGATACAGATTAATGTCCCTCACCTAGAACACTCGCAAGAGGTTTGTAACAGCGGATCGACTGAACACAAACTTCTATGAGGCAGGGCTTACTCGCTAGGACAAGTCCCGACCCTCGCTCCCTCTGGCGCAGGCAATCACAGCTAACACTACTTGCGGAACTGCAAAGCAAGCTCACCAGTACCTCGTTAACTTTTGCTTCCCCAGAGACTAGGGGGCCCGAGGAGAAAGGTGTTTGTTCTAAATTCCAGGCGACTTAAACCCAGCGCGGGGACGACCGGGGAAACACATGGATCCAGGGGAGCGTCCCTCTCCGCAGAGGCAGAGGGCAGTCGGGCGCCGGGGCCGGGCCATAGCCAAGGGAATGCGGCACACCAGGCGGGGTGCCGGCGGGCTGTGCGCCCAGGAGGGACCTAGACCTGGCGCCGCGCGAGAACGGCTGCAGGACGTCCGCGGACACCCTGCGGCCCAATGGGCCTCCCCCGCCGATGAGGTGGAGAGGGGAGGGAGGGCTGGCGGCGCGTTCCTCTTACCATCGGAATTGGTTTCAGGATCAAAGCGCTGACCGCAGCCCCGGTTGTAGCACAGCAAGGACATTTTCTCTTCCCACTGTCACAAGCAAGGCCCAAACGCCGGGAATGGCAAGAGGATGCCGTGGCCACTCCCGTGTAGCTAGCCCTAGTCTGACGACCAAGGCGACTGCCGGCTTCCGGAAACGATCAGCGGCGTTTCAGGAACCTTCGCGAATTTTCCGGTCGCGCAGGCGCAGCGGAGAAGGAAAGCGGCGGAGGAAGCAGCAGGAGGTCGGCACTAGCCCGGGCTACAATAGGTCGGACTGCTGCATCTGGTAGCAACTGGGGGTCGGAGGTGGAGCCCAGACAATAGCGGAAGAGAAATGTACTGGGCAGAAACTGAAGGTGTCCAAGAGACTGACAGCTGTCTCCTGACTTCCCCAGTCCTCACTGGCAATGGGCATGTCCTCTCATCCCCTGCGGCCCGGCATCCTTCTTCCTTGCCTTGAGGCTGCGCCTTAGACTGCCCGGTGGGTATCTTCTGACCCCTTAGTTGTGCACAATAAGTGTGCAATCGTACAGTGTTTCCAAATCCTCAGGATAGAGGTGGGAGCTTAGTAAATGAGGAGAGGAATAGTGGACGAACCTCTCCGCGTGTCTGTGTCTCCGGTGCCCTCCTCTCGGGAGCAATTTTAATAACTGAACAGTTTCGTTCACGTTACTTTGAAAATACAAAACACGTAAAAATCTGAAGAACAAAATTATGGATCTGATACTGTGCCAGAAATGATCACAATTGCTCTAAGGCCCTGGGGTAATTGTTAATATTTCATATGAGCTCCCACTTAAACGATTTCTCAATACTCAGTACTCCACTATTGGAACAGCTAGTAAAACTTCAAGTGCATTATAAAAATTACAGTAATGCATTGGCTCCAACTTGCATATTTCCCAAATGTGGGACGTTTGAAAGAAAAGCAAACACTTTTTGATAACATACACTGAAGGATCTTAAAATAAGATAAGCAGCTTGTAAGAAACCTAAAAATCTATACACAGTTTCCATTGGTCTCAAGGTTATTTAGGGATCTGGCTCACATCCTCCTACCCCTGAAAAAAAGACTTTTTAGTTTTCATATTACGTTCTCTTCTACCTAGAAGTATTAAATTATTATATTGTAATCCCAACATAGATACATGTTTTCTTCTTCATTTAACTTAACATGAATATTTTTCTGTTTTGTTTTGTAATCATTATTACAAATGATGGAGTATTCTCTTGAATGAATCCACTGTAATGTAACCTTTCTCGAATTTTCCCAACTTTATTATATGTAAGTTACAGTAATCAACTTGTATATTATTTTCCTTATTTCAAATTTCCCCCTTTGGAAAAATTTGTGGAAAGCAACAGTTCTGGGGTAAATGACATCAGCCTTTTTAAATAACTTTAAGATTTTAGAGCTATATAGAGCCAATTGCTTTCCAAAAGATGGTACCAATTTACAATTTGGTAATTAAGTAATAGACCTTAAAAATTTTTCACACACAATTGGAAATGAAGAAGTGGAGAGCTCTAAAAAGTTTTAGTTGTGACCAAATCTGTTGTGTTGAACATCCTAGTATCAATGCAACATTACCAGGATTGTTAGTAAACTAAATCTTTTAAACAATTTTAATATTTGTTTCTAGTTTTTCATCTGTACCATTTACAATCAGAATATGGTAGATAATTTGGAAAATGCAGAAGTATATTAATAACAAAGTCAACCATAATTCTACCACCCAGCAATAAGCACTGAATGGCTAAAATAACTCTATGGTAAATTTATTTTCAGTATTTCCTGTCACCCAGAGCATATGTTTATATTTGTTAAAAAACAAAGTCATATTATATATAGGAATTTATATTCCTCCCTTGGGTATTTTGAGAAACTGTAAAAATAAAATTATTCTTATGAATCAGAAAAACAGTGATACACAAACAGCTTGTTTCAATCCCAACTCCACTTGCATTTCCATTCCAACACTTCAGTGCTACCACCCACTGTTCAAAAAACTTTCTGGCATTTACATGTATATTTTATATAGACATTGAATATATCTTCCCTTCCTTCTTTACCCCCATACATACCAAAATATGCTTTAACTTTGACTATCTTATTTGTTGTTAACAAAAGACTTAAGTATGTTAACATAAAACAATTTTCAATTATTTTTGGTACAAAGTGAATGTTTATCATAGTGCTGTCTTTTTCTGCATTTAAAAATATTTCTTTTTTTTTTTTTAAAGAAACGAATTGGAATGGATTCAAGAGTGATGGGGTGGGAATGAGTATAGACAATGAAAGGTAGATAAATTTTTTAGCATATTTTGCTAGAAATGGGAGCAAAAAGAGGCACAAGAAAAATAGAATTGAGAGAGTATTTTTAAAGGATATTTCTTTTTGTTGTTTTTGAGACAGGGTCTCGATCATGGCTCATTGCAGCCTCTGCCTCTTGGGCTCAGGTGTACACCACCACACCCAACTAATTTATTATTAGTAGAGATGAGGTCTCATGATGTTGCCCAGCCTGATCTTGAACTTCTGGGCTCAAGTGATCCTCCCGTCTCTTCGTTTTTTTTTTGTTTGTTTCTTTTCTTTCTTTCTTTTTTTTTTTTTAAAGGAGAGAAGGAAAGAAAAAAAGGCGTGAAGGAGAGGAAGAAAAAGAGGGAGAGAGAATGGAAATGTTGATTTATTCTAAAAATGGGTATTAATAATGGCCAATCAATATTTCATTTAAACCTATGAGCAGGTGTGATGTGGTATTGACAAGAATGTATATTTTGTATATTTAAAGTGGAGAGCTCTATAAATATTTATTAAGTTTACTTGTTCCGGATCTGAGTTCAAGTCCTGGATATCCTTATTAATTTTCTGTCTTGTTGAGTCTAAATCTCTTTATAGGTCTTATGTATCTGGGTGTTAGGATCATTAGCTGTTATTGTTGCATTGATCCTTTTACCACTATATCTTTGTTGCTTTAAAATCTATTTTATCAGATGCGAGAATTGCAACTCCTGCTTTTTATTTATTTATTTATTTTTGCTCTCCATTTAGTTGGTAAATCTTTCTCCATCCCTTTGTTTTGAGTCTTTGTGTATCCTTGCTTGTGAAATGGGTCTGGATGTAGCATACAGTTGGGTTTTGGCTGTATCTTTTGATTGGGGGATTTAGTCAATTTAAATTTAGGATTACTGCCATTTGATATTAACTGGCTGTTTTATCCATTCGTTGATGTAAATTCTTCTTTATGTTGATGCTCTCTACTTTTTGGTATATTTTTAGAAAGGCTAATACTGGTTGTTTCTTTCTATGTGTAATGCTTCTTTCAGAAGCTCTTGTAAAAGCAGGCCTGGTGGTAATAAAATCTCTGAGTACTTGCTTGTTCATAAAAGATTTTATTTTTCCTTCAATTGTGAAGCTTAGTTTGGCTGGATATGAAATTCTGGGCTGAAAGTTCTGTTCTTTAAGGATGTTGAATATTGGCCCCCACTCACTTCTGGCTTGTAGGGTTTCTGCTGAGAGATCTGCTGTAAGTCTGATAGGCTTCCCTTTGTGGGTAACCTGACCTTTCTCTCTGGCTGCCCTTAGTATTTTCTCCTTCGTTTCAACCCTGGTAAACCTAATGATTATGTGCCTTGGGGTTGCTCTTCTTGAGGAATATCTTTGTGGTGTTCTCTGTATTACTTGGGGTTGAATATTGTCCTGCTTTGCTAGGTTGGGATAAAAATATTTCTTAAAATAAAAACATTCAAATAAGTTTAATTAAGCTTTATTATTTTGAGCCAGGCATGATGGCTTGTGCCTGTAATCCCAGTAATTTGAGAGGCCAAACCAGGTGGATCACTTGAGGTCAGGATTTTGAGCCAGCCTGACCAACATGGCCAAACCCTCTACTAAAATACAAAATTTAGCCAGGTATGGTGGTGCATGTCTGTAACCCCAGCTACTTGGGAGGCTGAGGCAAAAGAATCGCTTGAACCCAGGAGGAGGAGGTTGCAATGAGCTGAGATCATGCCATTGCACTCCAGCCTGGGTAACGAGCGAAATTGTATCTCAAATAAATAAATAATAATAATTAAGTTCCATTATCTTAAAAAAGATTATAGATATGGTGTGTATGTATCTATGTAAGTGTATAAAATAAAATAATATTTAAAAAGATAATCCATTAATCTTTTATAATAATGGCTATGTATAAAGACAAAGATGAGTTTAAAAGAGTAAAGTTAATATTTTACTTTATACTCTTATATATTTTTTTAAATGTAGTAAATATATATTCATTTTTGATATACCTAACATCATGAAGAGGACAAAAAACCAGCTTTTCAATGACTATTTTATTTGGTCTACTTTATCCTTAGAAAGACATATTAATTTCATCCATTATGATTGTGTTTTGAGCAGTGTGTGGTTTATGTATTTTGAATGTATATCATTCATCCTATAAAGATGCATGTCTTATATTTACATAATTTATGCTTTTAATATAAAAAGAATTTCTTCGTATCATTTTGTATTTTTTGTATGTTTTGAAACATTTTTCGTATGTTTGGAAATCTACCTTGATATTAATGCTTCAACTTTTGCCATGTTTCTCTTTGTTTCTGCCTAATAAACCTCACCCTATCCATTCATCTTTTACCTGTGTCATCTCGTTTGGGCATTTCTATACTATACAGCAGATAGATTGCATCTTGTTTTTCTTTACTTAACTAAAATCTGATAATCTTTTTATTTTGCAGAGATGCTTAACCTTCTTATTTCTGATTAATGCTTCAAAGTTCAGTTGCCAAAATGGCCCATAAGCCTGAGTTTTCTTATCTGTAAAACATTGATAACAGAGTGCTGTGAAGATTAAACAATACACATAAAACATATAGTATAGTGTAAGCACTGAATAATAATTCCACAAAAGTTTAGCAATGAAAATTGTCAACAACATAGAGCTCAGATGTTTAGCCCTATTTTGTTATTTCACTTTGTTTTCCTTTTGTGTGTGCAGTTGTGTGTCTTCTTCCTTGTTTTTATTTTATTCTATTTTCTAAAGTGTATGTTTGCTTTTTTATTTTGTCCGTGATTTTCAAAAAATATATGCTGGTTTTCACTCATTTCAGCATGTATTAAGTAGTTAATGTGTCTTGATACTACATTAGATGCAGGATACAGCAGTGAACCAAAGTGACATTTTACCTGTCTTCATTGTATGTGAATTTTGTAAGAAAGACATATGGGAATAAAATATTCCCAATTATAACTGCAATCTCTGATAATTGCCATAATTGCTATGAATGGAAAGTACATTAGGCTAAGTTAGTGGAGATAGGAATTTGCCTAATCTTGAGTTGGGGTGCAGGCATAGGTGATAGTCTAGATAGAAATCCTGCAATAGAAGGTAGTGTGTCATTAAAGAAACCACAAAGTCATTAAGGTAAACCAGTGCTCAGAATGCCAGATGTATTAGGACATTCTTGCATTGCTATAAAGAAATACCTGAGACTGGTATTTCTCAGACTGGTATTCATAAGAAAAGAGATTTAATTGGCTCACATTTCTGCAGGCTGTACAGGAAGGGCTCAGGAAGCTTTAACTCATGGCAGAAGGCAAAGTGGGAGCTTGTACTTCACATGTTACAGGCAGCAGCAAGTGGTAGGGGAGGTGCCCACACCTTTAAATGACCAGATTTCATGTGAACTCAGCTGGAGAGCTCACTCATCTCCCAGGGAATGGCCCATGCTGTTCATGAGCGATCCGCCCCCATGACCCAAATACTTCCCACCAGGCCCCATCTCCATGATTAGGGATTACATTTCAACATGAGATTTGGGCAGGAACAGATATCCAAACTATATAATTCTGTTCCTGGCCCCTCCCAAATCTCATGTTCTTCTTACATTGCAAAATACAATTATACCTCCCGACAGTCCCCCAAAATCTTGGCTTTTCCAAATTTAGCTTCAAAGTCCAAAGTTTCATCTGAGACAATACAAATCCCTTCCATTGATGAGCCTGTAAAATAAAAAACAAGTTAGTTACTTCCAAGATACAACAGGTGTATAGGCATTGCATAAACATTCCCATTCCAAGAGGGAGAAATTGGCCAAAAGAAAGGGGCTACAGGCTCCATGCAAGTTAAAACCCAAGTGGGCAGTCATTAAACTTAAAGCGCCAAAATAATTCCCCTTGACTCCGTGTTCCACATCCAGGGCACACTGGTACAGGGGAAGGCCTCTCAAGGCCTTGGGAAGCTCTGCCCCTAAACTTTGCAGAGTGCAACTCCCACAACTCTCATGGGGTGGCGTTGAGTGCCTGTGGATTTTCCAGGTACAAAGTACAGGCTGCTGGTAGTACTACCATTCTCAGATTTGGAGGATGGTGGCCTTCTTCTCACAGTTCCATTTGACAGTGCCCTATTGGGGACTTAGTGTGGGGGCTCGAGCCCCATATTTCTTCTTCACATTGCCCTAGTAGAAGTTGTCTGTGAGGGCTCTGTCCCTGCAGCAGGCATCTGCGTGGACATCCAGGCTTTTTCATGCATCCTCTGAAACCTACTCAGAGGCTTCCAAGCCTCAGTTCATGCACTCTGTATACCCACAGGCTTAACATCTCATGTAAGTCATGTGAGCTTATGGCTTGCATCCTCCAAAGTAGCAGCGTGAGCTCTACCTGGGCCCTGTTGAGTCACAGCTGAAACTGGAGTGGCTGGGATGTGGGGAGAGCAGTTTGCCAAGGTCCTGGCTCATGAAGCCATTCTTCCCTTTTAAGGCCTCTGATGGGAGGGGCTGCCTGAAATTCTCTGAAATGCCTTCCAGTTGTTTTCCCCATTGTCTTGGATAGTTATCACTTGGCTCCTTTTTAGTTATGCAAATGTATCTAGCAGGTAGTTTTTCCACAGCCTGCTTGAATTCCTTTCCAAAAAAAAAAACAGCTTTTTCTTTTTCTTTTTCTGCTATATGGCTAGGCTGCAAAATTTTCAAACTTTTATGCTCTGCTTCCCATTTAAATATAAATTTCTACTTTAAGCCATTTATTTGCCCCTATATCTGAGCACAGCTTGTTAGGAACAGCCAGGCCACATCTTGAGCACTTTGCTACTTTGAAATGTCTTCTGCCAAATACCCTATGTTTGCACTCTCAAGTTCAAATTTCCTCAGATCCCCAGGGCATGAACAGAACGCAGCCAAGCTCTTTCTCATGGCGTAACATGTGTGACCTCTGTTCCAGTTCCCAACGAGTTCCTCATTTTCATCTCAGATTGGATTTCATTTTCCATATCACTATCAGCATTTTGGTCACAATCATCTATTTATTTATTTATTTATTTATTTATTTATTTATTTATTTATTTTAATGGGAGAAATATATTTATTTTCACCATTCCATTAGCACTGGTGATCTTTGGAAGGTGGAGCTTATGAGTACTATTCACTTTTTTTTTTTTAATTTTTTATTGCATTTTAGGTTTTGGGGTACATATGCAGAGCATGCAATACAGTTGCATAGGTACACACATGGCAGTGTGTTTTGTTTGCTTTCTCCCCTTCACCCACATTTGGCATTTCTCCCCAGGCTATCCCTCCCCACCTCCCCCTCCCTTTGGACCTCCCCTTTTCCCCCCCAATAGACCCCAGTGTTTAGTACTCCCCTCTCTGTGTCCATGTGTTCTCATTTTTCATCACCCGCCTATGAGTGAGAATATGCGGTGTTTCATTTTCTGTTCTTGTGTCAGTTTGCTGAGAATGATGTTCTCCAGATTCATCCATGTCCCTACAAACGACACGAACTCATCATTTCTGATTGCTGCATAATATTCCATGGTGTATATGTGCCACATTTTCCCAATTCCAGTCTATCATCAATGGGCATTTGGGTTGATTCCAGGTCTTGGTCACAATCATTTAATCAGTCTCTAAGAAATTGCAAACTCTCTCTCATCTTCCTGTCTTCTTTATAAAGACATACTCCACATGATCCTACTCTCTGGCTGTTATCCAATTCTGCAGCTGCTTCCACATTTTCAGATATCTTTATAATAATACGCCACTCTCAGTACTAATTCTTTGTATTAGGTCATTCTTGTATTGCTATAAAGAAATGCCCGAGACTGAGCAATTTATAAGAAAAGAGGTTTAATTGGCTCATAATGTAGCATAATGTCTGGTGAGTTTTTCAGGAAGTTTTATTCATGGTGGAAGGAGGTTCCTGAGACTGAGCAATTTATAAGAAAAGAGGTTTAATTGGCTCATAATGTAGCATAATGTCTGGTGAGTTTTTCAGGAAGTTTTACTCAGGGTGGAAGGAGGTTCCTGAGCCTGAGCAATTTATAAGAAAAGAGGTTTAATTGGCTCATAATGAAGCATAATGTCTGGTGAGTTTTTCAGGAAGTTTTACTCATGGTGGAAGGAGGTTCCACTTCAATTGGCAAAAGCAGGGAAAGAGAGAAAGAGTTGGGGAGGGGAGTTTCCACAGACTTTTAAATGACCATCAGCTGTCATGTGAAATCAGAGCAAGAGCTTATTACCTATTACCAAGGGAATGGCCCAAGCCATTAATGAAGGATACGCTCCCATAATCCAAACACTTCCCACCTGGTGCCACCTTCAAGAGTGTGGATTATATTTCACCATGAGATTTGGGCAGGGACAAATATCTAAAATATAATGCCACCTGAGGCTGGAAAGGTAAACAGAGGCCCAAGAACACAGGCAGCCTGAGAGGCAGCTGTAAGGATGATTAAAAGGCTTTTATCCTTAAGGCAAAGAGGAATAATTGAAAGGAGTTTTTCATGAATGTGATTTTTCCAGAAATCTCAAAATTAACTGAAGGCATGCAATAATCTAAAGAGCACTTATTCAACAAAAGTGCTAAATATTGGTAAGAACAAGTTGTGTGACATTTTAATTTCCCTATTTTTATTTTCTTTTTATAGCTAAATGGTAGGTATGAAATCCAGCAGCCTCTCAACAATAGCTATGTAAAGCAGAATTCTAGAAGCCACAAGAGGAGGAAAAATGGCTTAAGTGCTCCCCCCGCAAATTCCCGTGCTTAGACAATTGGAATTGTTTAAGCATTGCTCCATCTGACAGTTCCTTGGAAAAGCCTAATTTTTAAGGCTTGTGATCGTTTTGACTTGACTTACTCAAAGCTTGATTGGGAAAAATCTTGTCTCGATGACATTTGCTAAAAACAATTAAAAGTGATTGTTTCATATGGCAGCTGCCTGAGGAGCCTATACCAGTTGAGGCAAGTAAGAAGCTGGCCAATAAATATGGAAACAGAAGAGTTTATGAGTGAAATAACACCAGAATCGTTGAAAAACACCGACCTATTCCTAAGGAATGTGAAGAAAGTGGCATCCATGAGTAGGGCTATATGCATTTAAAAGAATGATCTGAGAAGGTTCCAACCTCTCACCACTACTTGAACCTTAGGTCCTGTGAAGCAGTAAGAGAAGACTAACAGAATTGCAAACTCTCAAAACATCGAGAGAATGTCATAATATACACAAAGAGCCTCTCAAACAAACAATATACAGCTTATTCACTCAGGGTATATAAGGAAATCTCTGTCCAGTCATGAGCTAACTACAAAGCTAACTGTGCAGAAGATTCAGTGGCCACACATAACAGGGAAAAAAGACTTTACAAAATTAGTCCAGGAATGAAATAATAATAACAACAACAGCAACAATAAACAGCAACCAAAACAAAGGGTTGGAGAAAATAATGTGATTTCTAGAGGTACCATGTATAAAATATCCAATTTTCAATAAAAAATTATGAGATTTGTAAATAATCAAGAAGAATGTTTCCTACAAAGAAGAAACAAAAACATGCAATATAAACTGTCCCTGAGGAAGATATTGGACATGATAGATAAGGCCTTCAAATCAATTATTATAAATATGTTCAAAGAAATACAGGAAACTAATTCTAAAGGACTGAAAGAAAGTATGAGACTGATATCGCAGCAAATATTACCAATAAAGAAATAAAAAGTAAAAATCCTCAAATTGGAAATTATAATAACGACTAAAAATGTACTATAGTGATTCAATAGAAGGTTAGTCCTGGTAGTAAAAGAGAATTTGAATATAGGTTAGTTTAGATCATCTAGTCTAAGGAGCTGGACAAAAATGAATTAAACAAAAATACTCAGAGACCAATTGAATAGTATCATGGTTACTAGCATACACATATTAGAGTCACAGAAGAGGAGGAGTTAGGAAAAAGGGAAAGAAACAGTACTCGAAGATACAATAGCCAAAAACGTCCCAAATTTAATTAAAACATCTGAATGTACACATTAAATGTGTACATTCATTTAATGTGTACACATATTAAATGTACACACATTTAATGTATGTACATTAAAACATTTAATGTACACATCTGAAAAATTCAAGAACTCCCTGTAAGATAAACCCAAAAGCAATTAACATATACAAAATAATAAAATTGTCAAAAGTCAAAAACAATGAGAGAATTTTGAAAGCAGCAAGAGAAAAATGATTCTCTACACACAAGGGATCCTCTATAAGATTAACACATGATTTTGTTTAACACATGACACATTCAAAGTAATAAAAGAACAAGATCATCAACTAAGATGTCTGTATTTGGCAAAACTATACTTCAAAAACTAAGAAGAACAATATTTCTAGATTTCAAGTATAGTATGTCCGTATCTTGTCAGAGTGAGGCACTATTTAGCCTACCACAATATCAATATCATAAGGTTCTCCAAAGCAACTGAAAATGGGTCCCATCAATTTGGTCTTATCCATATCTATCCTTGACTTAAATATAAATATTTAAAGCCTTTTCCAATATCTAATTTATTTATTTCCCAGTGAACTAACACCCTGTAAACCACCCATTGTAAAATGAAGAATTTAGGAAATCCGTGTTCTCTGCATAGTGAAATGATAAAAAATGTTATGAACTGGCCAGGTACAGTGGTTCACACTTGTAATCCCAGCACTTTGGGATGTCGAGGCTGGTGAATCA